TGCCCTTGTCTGTGTGTATATGGAGCGAAGGTTTGGTGTGTGCCTAACACTAAATAGTTCAAGTCTGGGAGAGAGAGAGGACAGCTTGTCCTTGCTACCTAGAGTTCGGAGAGGAGGCTTCAAAGAGGAGGTACACTCTTACCTCCTCCTAGATCCACCTGTGTTTATACTGACAAAGGTAATGTGGGGGTGGGGTCTTCCAAGAACATGTTTTAGTCAGTTTCTCATTGCTAAGAGAGAATAACTAAAAGCCATAACTTGAAGAAGGAGAGGCTCATTTTGGCTCACAGTTTAGTCCACAGTCAGCTGGCTCCAAGGCAGAATTCCACGGCAGAGAAGCATAGTGGAGGAAAGCTGCTCATGTCATGGCAACCAAGAAATAGACAGAAAGAACAGAGGAGTCGGGGAAGGAGACAAATCCTTCTGGGTCACCCCTTCCCCAGTGAGTAGCCTCTGGTGACTAGATCCCACCCCCTAATAGCACATGTAGCCATGGATTCATCAGTGAATCAACCCATTGATGGGTATAGTGCCCCCATGGTCCAATCACCTTCCAGAGGCCTGGCCTCTGAGTGCATAAGTTTTCGGGAACATTCTAGATCTAAACCATAACATCATCCACCAATGTCTGGCACAGGGTATTTGTGAGACAGAGGAGAGAGCACCTAACCCTATTGGCTTCATACATTGGGCCACATCTTTGGGTGTGTGGGATAAGACCATGGAGTAGCAGGTCTTCAGTAACAGGATGATAATGTGATTTATTTTGTGTATTTCTTTTTAACAGACAAATAAAGGACAGACAAAATTTATTACATGCCTGAGGCATGGGAGTATGTCATTAGGCTCCTATTTTGTGTAATTTTGAGCAAAAAAAGAAGGGAGCAACCTGAATAGGCGTAAGACCTCTGAGAGAAACATTGAACATCCTGTCAACCAAAACATTTAAATTTGTCTTCTGATGCCTTCCCTGCAAACCTTTATGTTAATACAACTTTTCAAAGACCTTCACGGTTATCATACAAGCTTGGAGCTACTGTAATTTAAATGATATTATGCAACACAGATTCCTCCCATGGGGAAGAAAATGAGGTGCAAATTGGTAAGTCTCCAAGGCAAGGATCTGTCTCTGGCTCCAGCACCTAAATTTTAGGTCTCCACTTTCCAAGCCTCTTTTCATCAAATGTACCCAACTTGTGTCCATCTAATGCCCCCTGTGCCTGCTAGTTGCCTGGTTAATTTGTCTCATATTTTTGCCAACATGACAAAGTTAATCAAGAGCTAAACACTGGTAATGCAAAGTAGTCACAGTTATGAGAAGAGGCAGTCTAAAGAAGAGAAGTTCAGCCTCACTAGTAATCACGAGAATGCAAGTGTTGTATAACTTTTTCAACTGCCAGATAAACAAAGGTGAACATATCAAAATATGGGAGCTCGAGAGACTTTAGCGAAATGTGAGTGTACACTAGTGGGGGTGAACATCAACACAAGCTTTCGAGGGGGCAGTTTGGTAATGTACATCAACAGTATGAAAATATACAGAAAATCTATGTCTGATAATTTATTCTAAGGAAATTATTAGCGGGAGCCAATTATGGCCAAGCCAGCCTTGTTTATAGTAAAGAATAACTAAAAATAATCTAAATGCCCACCGAGAACTGCTCATATCAGTTATAACACATTCATATGATGGAAATGTAAAAAAGACTTGAAAATGGTGCAAACAGTTATAGACATGAATGGATGTCCGCTACATCCTTAGATCCTGTGGTGCTGTTAAATGTAAAGTTAAGCACACACACAAGTACTTACATGTATGTGGACTTCTGGAATGGCAGTCGTAGAAATATCAGCTGTGATGTTTTCTGGTTGAGGGGGGCTGGAATGGCTTGACTTTCTTCTTCCTTTATTGCTTCTAAAATCACAAACATTATATTCTTTATTGTTAACTTAATAACTCACACTAACTGTATCCTATGTGCCAGGTACCGCACTAGTTGCTAATACTGTTCTTCCTGAATAAGGTAATAAGAAATTAGAGAATGTACCTAAGTCCACTCCAGGAAATGATGGACTGGGATTCAAAACCTGATAGCCATGGCTCTTGCTACACTACAACAGTGGGACCTCAACAGTCCCACTCCCTTTCTCAAAAGTAACAGCTGTTAGCTTTGTGGAAGAAACCTGTAATCCCAGCACTCTGGGAGGCTGAGGTAGGAGGATTGAAAATTTGAACACAAAAGAGTGCAATTTAGTGAGACCCTGTCTCAAAGTTTGAGATCCTGTCTCACAATTAAAAATATGTAAAAGGTCTGGGGATGAAGGCTTAGTGCAAGGCCCTGGGTTCAATCAGCAGACCGCGCGCACACACACACACATACACACACACACACACACACACACACACACACACACAAAAGAAAATAACTCATGCTAACCATTCGTCATGCCTTCTTCCAAAACTTTCACTGGGCACTTTCAGGGGTGTGTGTGTGTGTGTATGTGTGTACGTGTGTACATATACACATGCCCGTTGTTTTTCTGTTTGGTAAAATGGGATGGTGTCATTTTCCCTCCAGTATGTAGAGTTCACACTGGTACTTTGTGTTTACCTCTGGACAACAGACTGCAACAGAGACGTGTGGGGTTGACAGAACCATGCTTTCACTGGAACACTGCTATTTTTTACTTCTTCCCCCTAACAGACAGAGCTGTAAGGAGCACCTCACTCCTGGTTTGGGGTGTAGATATGTGGTGTATTCTTGTGCTAATCCCCTAGAAATGGAACCACTGTACCAAAAGCTGTGCACACTACACCAGAAGATGCCTGCTGAAGACAACTATGCCATTACTCCCGCAGTCCCTGAGTAGCCAGGGCCTCGTGTTTCCACCAACACAAGAATGTGTCAGACTTTCAAATTTTTACCAGTATGAGAAATGAAGACTGTTATTTCACTGGTAGTAACTTAAAGCCCTTGATAACCAGCAAAGCTGAGCATCTTGTCATTACTGGTCATTTTCATTTCTTCTCAGCATCATTCACTTTCTATTGGATAATTTGAGTTTGTCTTACTAACCTGTAGGAGCTTTGTTAAGAATATTTGTCTTTTGATGCCCTGTTTGTCACAAGTATTTTTCCTAGGACATTACATTTCTTTGACCTTGGTTAATGTCTTATTTTTGTATGCAAGTTTTTATTTGTTTTATTTGTATGTAATCAAACCTGTCAATTTTTTCCTTTATGGTTTTATATCTTGTTTAGGATGTCTCTCTCCAGAGTATTCTCCAAGAATGTAATACTCTCTTACATTCTCTTCTAGTACATTTACATTTTTATAGGTTTGTCTTCATGTTTAGTTAATTCACAAAAAATTTAGTATTTTTTATTTTAAAGAGAAAAAAGGAGAAAACAATAGAAATAAAAATAAAACAGTTTCAAAACAGGCCAATAGGAGAGTAAAATAATTAATATGTTGCATATTGTTATTTTCATAGTAGTTACTCAGAGTACAAGATACAGGCATACAATATTGTCCAAATAGTATTAGCATAAACCTTTCTTTTCACTGAACTAAGAGCAAGTAGCTGTGTGACTACCCTAACTATCTTGTATGTATATATGTTTTTTTCCTTTTCCTTTCCCCTTTCCCTCATTAGTTTCTCTTTTCTTTTGAACAGTTTCTCCCCAGTTCACAGTATCTATTGTACATTTTGGATCTGTAGCTGTGAGGGAGCCAATATGTATTATACATTTTGGATTGTTCAGCTTCTCACACCAGGAAGACACTATGATGCTTACACATGTGGGTCTGATTGATTTCACTTATGAGTATGGTCTCAAGTTTCATCCATTTACCTATAAAGAACTTAGTATTGTATTTGGTGAAAAGTAGGGGTTTAAATCTTTTTAAGTTTTTAGGCTTATCATCTTTTAAAACTTGATTTCAGGAAAACTCAACTTCCCATGGGTGCCCTGTGTGTTTCTAGACTGTTCTATTGGTCCCTTTGAATATCTCTGATCTGGAATCACTTTGCTTTATTTACTTGAACATTTCAGCAGTAAGTTTTTATAAGTGCTAACACATATCCTAGCCCTGTTTCTTTTCTTTTTTAAACTTTCTCTAATCCTCTTCAGACACTTACTTTTTCAGAGGAAATTCAGAATTAGATAATCACAGTCCTGAAGTATTCCCTTGAGATTTTGACTGGGACAGACAGAAGCTACTCCCCAATTGGAGGTTAACATCTTACAAAGGTGAGCTAGGGACCTGCAGCCTGGATCTTGCCTCTCTGGCCACTCTCCAGGCTGTGCCGAGCTGCCTGGTGTGGATAGGGAGGAGCACTGCTTCTGCTTTCTGTCCGAGGCCTTCCTGCTTGACTACCCCTGCCTCACCTATGATTACCAGGCTTCTTGCAAAGATGAAGTCCCACACATCCCCGGCTCAAGTTCTTTCTGTCTTCTAACCATATTTGGACTTGAACCTGGACTCTCAGAGCCATACTCCAGAGTGAAGAGGACAGAAACCACGACCTCGCAGCAGAACCCAGTGGAGATACTTTTTGTTGGAGGACAGGTTCCCTGCTCCTAGAAAATCACATTGAACCCTCACTGTGACCAGCCTGGGGTCGCCAGGCTCTGGCTGAGACTTAAAAGAAAACCTTTATTGTTATAGAATAACCTAAAATGGTCTCATTTTAAGAGTATAATAATTTTTAGTAAATATACAAAATTGTGCAACCATCAGCATATTTCAATGTTAAAACACTTCCATCCCTCCACAAAGATACCTTACTGCCCACTCATGGTCATTTTCTAGATGCTACCTTGCCCTAGTATGACAGTGTCAGTAGGTGCAGAGACAGTAAAGGTACTGCTGGTGTATCTAGCCCCATACCCCTAATGAGATGAGCCCGTAGCTCTAAACTCTGCTTGGGAGACCCAGGGAAGACCAGCTCCTCAGAGCACTGGCCATGCTGAGCCCCATCCTTACCCCTTTCAGGTGGATAAAGTTTGAAGAAAAGGTAGAGGAAGGAGGCGAACGCTGGAGCAAGCCCCACGTGTCCACACTGTCTCTGCACAGCCTCTTCGAGCTCCGCACCTGCCTGCAGACGGGGACAGTGCTGCTGGATCTGGACCGTGGCTCCTTACCACAGATCATAGGTGAGGCAGGGCACCTCTGGTATCTCTCTTGTGGTCCGCACATACCAGGGCAGCTCCCCTCGTCTCATGCCCACCTGTGAGTCTGTGGGACTGGCCTGTACGCAACACCTGCCTGATTCTGCAGAGACCAAGGGGCTGGTGCTTCCCAGCCCACATCCCAGCGGCTCCCAAGTTTCAGCACCATTTGGAGCTCCCATAGTGAGGCAAAAATTGTCCCCTGAAATGCTGTCCAGCAATGCAGCTGAGTGGGACAAAGGCCTCCTAATGAGGGCAGAGATACCTGTTGCCATGACAACCTGTTTCTTCTCAGGGTAAAATGGATCATTAGGAAATGAACTCGCACTTAAAGGAGTGTTAGAGGGAGGAGGTGGCTTGCCTTTACTGTCCCTAAGAATGTCTATGAGTTTTGTTCTTGATCTTGCCAGGAGTATTTTACCCAACATATCTTTCTAAAAATAATCCATTTTAGGACTAAACCCATGTAACACAGTTGTTCTGTGCTTCCTGGGGTGCGCACATGTACTACCTCATTAATTCTTCACAACACTGATAGAAAGAGCAGGAACTTCTGCATACACCTGCACAGACACACAGACACACATACCCTGTCCATGAAGAGACTGAAGCTCTGTGATGTGTGTAGGTTTCTACTGTTAGAGGCAAAGCCAGGACTATTTCCATGTCCTCTGCCACCTTAGCTCACTTGCGGTCCCACTAATAACTGGTAAAACTGAAGACCCCCACACCTTGGTTCTGTTCTATCCCACACGGACAAGGCATGTTTATTTCCCACTCAGATGATGTCATTGAGAAGCAGATTGAAGACGGCCTTCTGAGGCCAGAACTCCGGGAGAGGGTCAGCTATGTCCTGCTGAGGAAGCATCGCCACCAAACTAAGAAGCCCATCCACCGCTCCTTAGTGGACATCGGAAAGTCAGTCTCCTCCACCACGAGTGAGTTGCACTATCTATGGGTGTCCTTTGGCCATGGAGCAAGTCTCAGGCCCAGGCCCAGGTGAGCCTGCCTTGGTGGCTGGGAATGTCTGACTTCATGATCCTGGACAAATTCTGAGGTTCTGGAGAATTCCTCAGACTCCTTCTCTGGAAGGCCAATGTTGTCCCCACCACCAGAACAGAGCTTCCTGGGAAGAGTTGGCTCCCAGCCCAGGCCATACATTACCATTCTTTAGGAGTTTGAGGAACCAAGTCCTAACGCCTGGAGAATTGGATTCAGTGGTCTGGAGCATGGCCCCGGCAAGGGGCAGGTCAGAAAGCTCCTGGTGCTCCTCGTGCACATGCTGTTTGAGGGCCTGTCAGGGAGAGTGCACTTGGGAAGGGCCTGAGAGCTTTTCATGGGGCCTTCAAAGCGGAGCCAAGAGCTGTGCAGAAAATGGAGTTTGCAGAGATAGTAGAGGGACTGGGTTCACCTCGAAGATGCCAAGGCTTACATGCCTGGCTGGGGAGCTCATTCTGAAAAGCAGAGCAAGGCGCCGTCTGGGAGAGCAGCTGCCCCCCTCCAGCCCTCTACTCGCAGGGTCTGAGTCAAGATGCCCGTTGACCCTGGCCCTGCTGAACCTGTCAGATAAACGCATGAGCCAGGATAGACTTGATGCAGTTACTAAAGGAGACACTGAAGGAAATTCTTTACATGAATTATGTAAAAATGGGAAAGTATTTTGTGTATCAGAATAACAGCATACTCAGCACTTACCAAGTCCCAGGCACTGTTTGGGGTGCTCTTCCTGTGTGAACGCACTTCATCCTTACAATGATCCTGAGTGTAGGTGCTGTTCCCATCATCCTCACTTCAGATGCCTGAGGCACAGAGAGGTTAAGCAACTGGTCACATAGCCAGGAAGTGGTGGCATTAGAAACAAAGCCAGGCAGTCTCTTACTCCTAGCGCCAACATAAACAACTGTATCTATCTCACTTTAAACAAATGTTTTCTCTGTAAACTTGTTCAGACAATAAAGTTGCTTCCAAAAGAAAAAAAAGTTCTTCCTGGAAGAGGAAGAAACATGTCTTACAACCTGACTTTATTTACAAGGATACCAGCCTAATCTGAGAGGCTGCCCTGCACCAGCCGTGCCAGGGGAGCCCAGTGGTCTCTGTTCCTCTCCCCAGGCCGGAGCCCTGCCCGGAGCCCAGCAGCTGGCCCAAATCTGCGCCGCTCCACTGAGGACCTGAGGATGCGGCAAAGCACAAATTACGGACATCTGTGTGAGTGTGATCTCTGCCACTGGGTGACAGCTTTGCTCCAGCTGTGAAGGCTGTGAATGGCCGCATTTCCATGGATGGAGGAGGAGAGCCTGGGATCTGGCTGGGATTCTCAGGATGTGCACAAGGAGAAATCTAATGTTCACCTTGAACCCAGGCTGTCCTCAGGGCCTGGGTCACGACCATAAAAATCTAAATAATTCTTCTGAAAGATGAGGTCCTAAATCAGTTCCCGACATGATCAATACCGATCCTAAGTTCTATTCATGTGGATCTTAGTCTGTACCTGGGTTTTCAATAAACAGATCATTTGCCCTGTTTTCTGATGAACAGTGTTTTCTAGGAATGGAATTAAATGCAGTATCATTCCTAGTAACGGTCTCCCAAGACTAGACAGAAGAAATATGGGCAGAGCCATAGGGCTGGGGGGTGAAAGGTCACAGACAGGCCTTTCCTGGTGGCTCATGGGAGTGAACAGTCAGGTGAGCTGTGAGGAAAGAGGAGAGAGATTGGGAAATGAACAGAAAAAGAAAAGGCAATGTGAAGGATTCTTCTCCTCTAGATACTTTGACTCAAATGCTGACATAGCAACAAGGGCACCCAGGACTGCGCCTTGAGTGCACGGTGGCCCAGGGCACAAACCCTAATGCGAGAAGCCTCAGAGAGGTGAAAACACATAATCAAGTCTTGGAGGATAAAATAGGAATTTTCCGGGAACAAGGGGCAGGAAGAGAAAAAGGCCTGTGAGTGCCTGGCTCCCCCTAACAAATCTCCTTCTCTCCTAGGTCACGCCCAGAGCAGGAGCATGAATGACATTTCTCACACCCCAAACACAGACCAGGTAGTAAAGCCTCTGTACTTGACTGCAGTGGAGGACCATGGCAGGGAGAAGCCCTTGGTTTCAGGGGCAGAACCCCACTCCCGTGAAGGAGGGCAGTCCCCAGGGAGGCTCCTGGCGGGAGCTTAGGGCTGCCTCAGTGACTGCTCAGCCCATCAGTTGGATGCTCAGTCGTAGGTGTTGGCTCCAGTCAAGCCCTGAGAGGAGTGAGTGATAGAGAATGTAATCAGTTGAGGTGCCTGCTATCCCTGAGCTGGGGGTTTTGTTGAAGAGAGAAAACTAGCACACATATCTTTCTTTCTCCTGTAATGATGGCGTAGGGATTAGAGCTGGCAGAGAGAAGGAAGCGAACCTCCCCAAGGAGAGAACAATGACAGCTAAGTAGTTGGATGCCCTGGAGTGTGTCATCTTCCTCAGATAGGGCAGGAGAACGTGGACCCTGGTCTCCCACTAGCACGGCTGAAGTACACTTGATGAGATCAGAATCCTTCAGACTCTAAGGGCTACAGCCAAGAACCTGTGACCGCCTGGGGAGGCTGAGAAGGCCCCTCAGTTCCTACTCCTCCGTACCTCAGGGGCCTGAGGCGCCACAGTCTCCTCATCTGTGCCTCTGGGAGTAGGAAGAAAGGTGACAATGAAACCTGAAACTTGAAGAGGGGTTCAAGGTAGGAAAATGGGGAAAAAAAAAGAAGTAAAATATATCATACACAGGTACAAATTCCCTATGATGAATGTGATCATTATATATATCTAAAATGTACCAGTAAAAATTTTTAAACTGCAAAAAGAAAAAGAAAAAAGAAACTTGAAACTCAATGAGAAGTCCTCAGAAGCTTGACTGACCCCTAAGCCTTTAAAGCACCCTGACCTCCTGGCCAAACACATCCTAACCTGCAAGGAAGGACCAAGGCCCCCTTTTAATTCCTCTTCTGTCCTGGCTTACAAGTGGGCTGGCTGGGCCACTCCAGAGTGCTGCTTTGAAAGCCTTATTCTCTAGGGTGCTCTGCCCACCCCACCTCTCCTCCTGTCCCTGGCACTCCCCATTCACCCTGATACTCAAAGGCATGAAACTGGCCTGGGGAAGGTGGCTTCCCTGGCACACCGGCTCCATCCCAAAGAACTGCTTGTTAATCAGCTGAATGTCTAGGACAAAAGGACTGCTTGAGTCTTGGATACTGGCTTTCTTGTCACCTCAGCCCTTGCTTAATCTCACTAGAGCAGGATCCTTGGGGTTTTTGCTGGCTGCCTGGGTGAGGAGTTTGGTTTTTTTCCCATTGGACTTAAAACACTCTAAGGGTGCAGTCCTTGCTCACATGCTATTCCTCATGATCACACACCACAGAGTTCAGTGTATCACCCCCAGCCCAGCCAAGAGCCGAATCAGAAAACAATTGTGGGCACAAGAGAAGAACCAGTTGGAAGAGACACAAAGGACCTGTGTCTTCACTGAGCCAGTGAGGAGCAGACATTGCTTAATTTTCCAACCTTGGGCAGATACTAGACAGAGGGACTGGAGGGAGGCTCCCTTGATAGTAGCAGTTGGAAAGCTTCAGCAGTTACGAGTTTCCTAGAAGGTCCTCTGGAAGGGACCTAGGACCGTGGAAGTCACCTACAGACTTCGAGACTGGGCCAAGGGTTCCTGTGAACCAGGAAGCTGGTAGCAAAGGGAAAATCTGTCCTCCCTGACCACCACAATAGGCCTCTTTCCCTCTGCCACCACAGGTGGAGGCAGAGATTCTGGGAGTTGGATTGCCGTTGCTAAAACTCCTGTCTGCCCAGGGAGAGGAGGCTGCAGGTGACGCCTGGGGCCCATCAAGCTCCAAGGTTCTTTCCTTCACCCCCATAGCTCATATCTGAGCACTTTTCGCCCGCAAAGAATGCTTTAGGGATCAAGTCATTGCAGGTTCTTTCCCGTCTCTGATGGCTTCATAGGTCTCTAGGAGAGTATTGGGTTATTTCTTTCAGGTTCTTGGACCCAGAGTCCTGTCACTGAGTTACAGCCCCAGCACTTTTTATCTTTTATTTTGAGGCAGTGTCTTATTAAGTCGCTATATTGCCCAGGCTGGGCTCAAACTTGCCATCCTCCCGCCTCTCTGTCTCTCAGAGTGCTGGGATAACATGCGTGGGCCTCTTTCAGTCTCTTAAGAAACACAGGAGCATCTTTTGAAGCTGGGCCTCCAGTGCAGACTAAAAGGGAGTGAGGAAGTAAGAGCGTGTGGAGTATTCCCGGGTGTCTCCTTTCCCCTCCCTGACAGAGGAAAAACAAGTTCATGAAGAAGATCCCCAAGGACTCAGAGGCCTCCAATGTGCTTGTGGGTGAGGTGGACTTTCTGGACCAGCCTTTCATTGCCTTTGTGCGTCTCATCCAGTCGGCCATGCTGGGAGGAGTGACCGAGGTGCCCGTTCCCACCAGGTGAGAGCCACGGAAACCTGCGGCCACGCCTGCACGGGGAGCCAGCCTAACCCAGCGTGACGTCAGCAAGCAGTGCTGTTAGGGACACTTCTAAAAGGAGAGGGAAATCTAACCAAGGAAGAATTTTAGATGGTTTATTTTAAATAATCATAAAGGAGAAAGAGGAACGAGCAGGAAGAGAACCTGTCGGGTGGGCATGGGCAGCAAGACAATGTGAGGAGTTCGTTGGAAGCCAAAGGGGAAGTGTTTTTCCACCGAATCTAAGATTCAAAGGAGAGAAGTTTAAAAAGTTAACAGTGGCTACTGTTGAAGACCGAAGAATTCTTCTCTTCTGTTTTTCCTTCTCATTTTCCTTCTCCTCCTCCTTCATCTTTGCAGGTTTCTGTTCATTCTACTGGGACCTTCTGGGAGAGCGAAATCCTACAATGAAATTGGCCGTGCCATTGCAACTCTCATGGTGGATGACGTAAGTGGTAACAAGAAGCATGTGCTCCTGGATGCCATGGCCCCTTCACTGAGGACTGCGTTCGCTGAGTTATCCAACAGGGACATTTGAGCACCTGCTGTGTACCAGGCCCTGTGCAGGGTACCGAAGATACTGAGATTCAGGAAACAGTCACTGTCTTTTAAGAACAATCCAGTATGAGGGACAGATCCATCTCCCTGAGGAGTTTAGGAGAGCTTCGCAGATGCGGAGGCTTTACAGCTAAGGACGAGCAGGAGACAGTAGACCCAGCACGAGCTCAGGAGGCAGGCATCCTAGACAAAGAGAGCAGGGCTTCTCTCTGACAAGGCTCAAAGAAGCTGGATTCACATGGGACTAGGCTCAGCATAAGACCTCCAAGAGCAGGAGGTGATACCAGAGAAGTGAGCCAGAGACTACGTAGAGCCTGTGGGCAGAGCCTAGCACTCACACTGTGTCCTCAGAGTGATTCGGAGCTAGGGAACTGTGAATGCAGGCATAACCCAATCCAATCTGTGAGTCAGAAAACATGCTCCGGAGATGACAGGCACTCCAGGTGTAACAAGTGCACCTGAAATATCTGAGCCTCTCAGACTGGGCTTTGCAGAGGTTTTCTAATGTGCTTTCTCTGCGAGAAACTGAAGCAAGAAAGGTGAGGTAACTCAAAAGTCCTCCAGAAGGATTTCGGAGACCTGAGCTTTAGTTCCAAGGTCTTCCTTTGGTGCCAGCTCTTTCCCATTGGGTCCTATTCTCCCCGCAATGCCATGTTCTCATCCCCCCAGCTGATTGCAAGCTGGCAGCAGAAGCAGGGGCTAAAAGTGACTCCCGGGAAGCTAGCTGTGCTGTGCTCCTGAGAGGTGGAATGACGGGACATGAGAAAGAAAGCTGACCGTTCTCTTCTCCCTGGTTTCTCACCAGCTCTTCAGTGATGTGGCCTACAAAGCCCGCAATCGGGACGATCTGATTGCAGGCATCGATGAGTTCCTGGATGAGGTCATCGTCCTTCCGCCGGGAGAATGGGACCCAAATATCCGCATTGAGCCACCCAAGAAAGTGCCCTCTGCTGACAAGAGGTGGGGGGAGGGGCGGGGGAGGGAGAGAGAGAGAGGCAGGAACAAAAGGGGCTTCAACTTTATTGCGATCTTTTCATTTCTCTTTGTAAAAAACCAGAAGCAAATATGATTAAATGGGACGTGGGTAATACTGATCATTTTCTGCACTTTCCCCTGTCTTTTAAGACATTTTGTAAATTTTTGGAGACATGAGGGGCGCACTGGGGACACCTGGGACCCCCCCTCCCCTCTTCCAGGAAATCCGTGTTCTCCCTGGCCGAGCTAGGCCAGATGAACGGCGCGGTGGGCGGAGGCGGCGCATCTGCAGGAGGAGGGGGCCCTGGCGGCGGCGGAGCCGGCGGCGGTGGGGCCGGCGGAGCCGGCGGTGGGGACGATGCAGAGATGCCGGCTGCGCACGAAATTGGGGAGGAGCTCATCTGGACAGGAAGGTGCGCACCGCGGGCCTGACAGAGCCCCTGCCCTACTCCTGACTTCTCTCCTACTCAGCCCTCTTGTGTCCTTCTCTTTCACTGTGTGTAGCACCCACTCTTGGCCATGGGGTCTGACCCCTGGGGCCTTTCCTTCCCTGTGTTCTCTTGGATCCTAAGAAGGGTTGCCCCAGGGGAGGGGAATGGGCGTCACAAACTTTTCTCCATACGCCCGCCCGTTGGTGCAGGTACGCCTTTCTTAGGGCTGCCAAAACAAAGTACGGAAAGCGAGGTGGCACAAAACAACAGAAACTCTTCTCACTCAGTTCTGGAGAACAGAAGTTCCAAATCAAGCTGTCCGCAGGGCCGTGCTCCCTGGGAGGCTCTGGGCAGGGTCCTGCCTGGTCTCCTCCTAGTTTCTGGCGGTGCCAACAGTCCTTGGCTTGCTGCTGCAATGCAGCAATTTCTACCCACGTCATCATCCCAGGGCTTTCTGCCTGTGTGTCTCTGCCTTCACAAAGCACTCTTCTCCTTGTATAAGGGCACCAGTCATACTGGATGAGAGACCACCCTAACGACTTCTTTATTACTTGATCATCTCCACAAAGTCTCTATTTCCAAGCAGTCACATGTCCTGGCCTTAGGAATTTAGTACATCTTTTGGTGAGAACACAATTCAATACATAGTCGTACCTTTTTCAAAACCTTAATGTTACTCATACAAAAACTTCATTTTTCTGTCTTCTAAGAGAAGAAGAGAAAATTCTCCTGGCCTGGGTGCTTTGCCAGCTCCCCGGGTCACTCGGGTGGATCGAGATTTAGGAAAGGACTTAGCCTACAATTCATGTGCAGATCATGAGTCTGAGAATGTCATGTTCATATATCCTCGGCGCTACACCAGTGGTTCTCAGCTGAAAGCAGCTTTGCCTCTCTCCTCCTCTCTATCCCCTGGCTCCGGGGACTCGGCCACGTCCAGAGACATTTTCATGTGTCACAACTGGAGGTGCGATGCTCCTGGCATCTAGAGGGCAGAGGCCAGGGACGCTGCTAAATATCCTACAACGCACAGCCAGCTCCCTTCAACAGAGGATTAGCCACTCACAGTACCAGTGATGTTAAGATTGAGCAACGCTGCTCTGCTCAGTACTGGGTTAGGAATGATGGGGAGTAGCATCCTCAGTAAGCACTGTCCTCAAGCCAAAAATTCTCCACTCAGTTGTTCCAGAGAGGAAAAAAAAAATCTGTTAGTAATAAGGTTTAGCAATTTTTGTTGTAATCTGGGATGTCTCTACTTCCTGTAGGTGGTCTGTGTTTACCAAGCACAGGAGCCCTTGGGTGGTCAGGGTTATGAGGAGGACCACCGTCTGTGAACCCCAAGATATTTGTTCCCAGACATTTCCTCTTCCCATACAGGCTCTTTCCACCCTCCCTAATGAGAATGATGCTGACGACAAACTTAGTCTGGCAAAAATTCATCTCCAGGCCTAAATGTTCTGGTGGGAAGATCCTTGATCCCTTCCACTCCTGGTCCAATTCCCTTCCTCACCCCAGACTCTGCAGAACCTGTAACTAGCCCTGCCCCTGCCCCGGCGCTTGTAGTGAGAAAGCAACTCCCAGCCTGTCTCAAGCAGGTTCTTTGGTGGGCTGTGTCTGGACGTCAAGAGGAAGCTCCCCTGGTTCCTGAGTGACTTCTGTGATGGCTTCCACATCCAGTCCATCTCTGCCATTCTGTTCATCTACCTCGGCTGTATCACCAACGCGATCACCTTTGGGGGGCTCCTGGGTGATGCCACCGACAATTATCAGGTAAGCGTGAGCTGGGGAGCTTAGGTGCAAATGTCAGGAAAATCTGCTGCCACCTGGTGGCAAGAAGGAGCTTCATCCTGTAATCCCAATGCCTAGCCTTAATGCAGGTCCAGATCATCACTATATTTTGTTTGTTTGTTTGTTTTTTGAGACAGGGTCTTACTATGCAGTTCAGGCTCACTTGAACTCACTATGTCACTAAGGCTGGCCTTGAACTCAAGGCTATCCTCCTGCCTCAGCTTCCTAAGTGCTGGGGTTACAAGGATGCACCTTCACACTTGGCTCAAAATCATCAATATTTGTAACTCTTAATAATAATAACAACCTGTAATCCCAGCACTTGGGAGGCTGAGGCAAGAGGATTATCATGAGTTTGAGACTAGTCTGAGCTACAAAGTGAGCTCAAGGCCAGCCTGAACTGCATAGCAAGACCCCACCTCAAAAAGACAAAATAATAATAATAATAATAATAATAAAAACAGCAGCAATAATTACTGGAGACCAAATTTAAGAATGACTTAAATAGGTCATACTTTAAAGGAGAATCATCTGCTTTGTTATTTATTTGTTACTTTTCCCAGTGATACTTGAGTGAATTTAATCAGCATGATTATTTGCATTGCTAATTGTGGCCTTGAACCATACTTCTTTTATTATTTATTTATTTTTGAGACAGGGTCTTACTATGTAGTTCAGGCTGGCCTTTGACTCACCAAGTAACCCAGGCTGGCTTTGAACTGTGGCAACCCTCCTGCCTCAGCCAGCCTCCTGAGTGCTGGGAGTATAGGCGTGTGGCACCCTGCCTGGCTTGCATACTTTTTAAAAAACCAACTTTGATTACGTAGGTTGGAATTGAGACTTTTATAGAAAGATAGTAAGCTGCCATCCTGACAACACACGGAAAATTCCACCTCACCAGAGACTCCTGTCCACACTGTAGGCAGTCTTCTCCACTGGATGCCTGTGGGGTAAAACCACCGGAAAGTTCAGAGCTCCAAGGGAAGGGCCCATTTTCTCAGATAATTTGAGATGAATGCCTATTGCCAGCCCGCATCTCTCTCCTTAGCTTCAGGTCCAGTGTCCAGCTGCCTCCCGGGCATGTCCATATGGCTGCCCCCTGGAGTCCCCCAATTCACAGGTGACAGTGCCTCTATTATCTCCTGTCCTGATCTGCTACTCATGGGCCTTTCCCAGCATAGCAAATGACACACAGTTCCCCCAGCTGTCCATAGCAGAAGCGAGGCTCATCCTTAACTCAAAAACCCAGCATCCCCTGCGATCCTCATCATATGGCCCTACTTGCCTCTCAAACCTCAGCTAGCACTCTTTATACCTTTTGGGGGGGGTACTGGGAATCGAACTCAGGACCTTGTGCTTCCCAGGCAGGCGCTTATGCCGCTGAGCTGTATCCCCGACCCCTCATCTAGCATTCTTGTTCTCAGCATTTCTGCCCTGCTCGCTCATTCTATGTCTGTTTGCCGTGGATCCTGATCATCTTTAAGTTCTTCAAACACAGGCTCCTGTTCAGCTCCAGACTTTATACACACTGTCCCCTCTTTCTCTTTCTTCACTTTATCCTCTTCTCCTGACCAATCCCTGCTTTCCACATGTCTATGTCTAGGGTGGCCTTCCTGACTGTGCTTCTGTGTCCCCCAGTTTATCACACGCCTGGGTAGTGGCTCTCAGCCAGGGGCAGTTTTGATCCCAGGAGATATCCAGAGAGAGTTTTGCTTGTTATAATTAGGAGGGAAATGGCTCCTGGCATCCTACGGGTAGAGATTAGGAATGCTGCTGAACATCATACAATACACAGGACAGACCTCGAACAGAGAATTATTTAGCCTGAAACAGTAGTGCCAAGGTTGAGGAGCCCTGCTGTACAGAAATTGGTTACTTATCTGTATACCTCACCAGACTGTGTAATCTTGTTCACTGAAAGGTCTCCAGTACCTGGCACGATGCCTAGTACATAGCAGGTACTTAATAGATTGTGAGTGAATGAATGATCAGACACCAAATATATGTTTGATGGAGGAATAATGGATGAATGGCCTGTCCTCTGGGAGTAGGATAGACACAGGGACAAGCATATCTATTGTTTTCTAGGCCCTGAGCTACCAAAAGGAGGTCACAAGGGATATTCATCCAAACAGAATTAGAGAGAGTGATACTGGCCATGGTGGCAGGTTGTGGGGATGGAGGTGGAGGGCGGGATTAGGGAGCAAGAGGGCCCAGAACAAAGGTGGACACTCGTCTGGGCCCTTGGAGAACTAGTAAGGTTGCAGCCTATGTAAGGAGACCTCTTCACCTGCCTCCGCTGTGCCTCACATTCTTGCACCCCCAGGGAGTGATGGAGAGCTTCCTGGGCACTGCCATGTCCGGCTCCTTGTTCTGCCTCTTCTCGGGACAGCCTCTCATCATCCTCAGCAGCACAGGGCCCATCCTCATCTTCGAGAAGCTGCTCTTCGACTTCAGCAAGTAGGTGCCCCCTAGTGGCCCCCTGTGCCTGCTCTTCATTTGAGACACCCAGGGCCAGGGAAGAGGAATAGGCCCAAAGGGGAGGCAGAGGCAGAGGTGTCAATGCCATCTTTAGCTCTGAGAAGGGCTGCCTGTGGTTCCTCTTGACTCCTGCTAGCTACCTGCTTTTGGTTATCTTAGGGCATATTAGCACAGCGCTTGGAAAGCAATTCACTCAAGACAAGAGGAGAAAATTTCCCTATTCTGCTCATGAGCAAGTATGATTTGAAAGTTAGGGTAGGGTATGAAAAACCTAGGGTTGGACGTCAGAATTCTGTACCCAGACCCAGGAAGCTGCAGTCAGCCCAGGGTCAGCTGCCTCATCTACAACACAGAAGTTCGATCTAGCCCATTTCTAAGTCCTGCTCTGGCCCTGTTTATCTTAAATCTCATTTTTCAGTCCCTGTGGATGTCTCTTACCACCTATGTGAGCGCAGTGGTGTCTTGGCACCTTCCGGCCACTCCCATTAGATCCTCTCCACTCCCATGAGATCTCACAGTCCTGAGAAGCGCATCTGTGCCCTAGAAGAGAAAAATGAGCTGCTCAGGGTGGGTGCAGGGAGCAGAGTACAGGCAGGAGCCCCAGGCTGGAGGCCCCCTGGTTTCCCTCTGCCTTCCAGAGGCAATGGCCTGGACTACATGGAGTTCCGCCTCTGGATTGGCCTACACTCAGCCATCCAGTGCCTTATCCTGGTGGCCACAGACGCCAGCTTTATCATCAAGTATATCACCCGCTTCACTGAGGAGGGCTTCTCCACCCTCATCAGCTTTATCTTCATCTACGACGCCATTAAGAAGATGATTGGTGCCTTCAGGTACTACCCCATCAACACGGATTTCAAGCCTGACTCCATCACCACGTACAAATGCGAGTGCGTCGCCCCTGATACAGGTGACCGGGAACCCCAGACACCCTGGCCCCTGGGCCCTCACCCACTGCCTCACCCCTATCACAGCTCTCTATAAATGCGAGAGTGACCCTGTGTGGGAAGGGACTGTTCAGTCAGCACTTACTGTGCCACAGGAGCAAATGCAGGGTCTTGAACTCAGTTTTTGGAAAGAAACCAAGGAAACAGTAGCCTATTATAGTAAAAGACACAATAGGGTTATAATTAGGAGAGTATAGGGGTAGCTCAGGAAGGAGGAAGGTTTGCCCTAGTGTGGGGTGGACTGCTGCCCACACCAGAGGTAGATGGTGCCTCAGGTCCCTGCCAGCCCTAGCAGTCCCCAACCACACTACTGTCAAAGTGGTCACATACCTCATAGGGTGAAGCCACACCAAAGGGATGAATATCCCTACAAACTGAAACATGCTAGGGTAGAGGACTGCCAGTCGTTCTATTTGAAAACAGCTGGAGAACCTGGGGCTGTTCCATCGCTTAGGAATATGAAAGGATGGCCGCATCCAGAGGGACTGCCTTTGCCCTCTGTGACTAGACAGTGTAGACAGCATGAGGGATGAGGGGCAGGAGTTCTGGCTGGGTTTAGGGGAAAATTAACAAAGGAGGGGTCACCATTATGGAAGGTATCAGCCTCCTTGGACCGATACTGGATGTCCATGTGCCGAGGGTGTTGTGAAAGGGATTCCCACACTGGGTGGCAGGAGGAGCCTAAGTGCCATTCCTGTGGACTTCCTCTCTGGCCTGACATTCAGAAAGTTAAGGCTGCCCATATTGTCTGACCTCCCAGCCTCCTTCAGGCATACTTGAGCCCCTGAGAGCCTTCGGTGGGATGTACCCACAGGGCCTCAGCTGCCAGAGTGGGAGCCAGGGACCCCTTCATGTAGCCTGACACACCAGCCAGGCTGGACTCACAGAGGGCAACCTGAGGTCCAGAGACCACCCAAGGTCACACCAAACCTCAGTTTCCCTAGTTGTAAAGGAGGGATGTTAACGTTGGCCCTGCTTAAATCTATGCTCAGATTGGGTTAAAGGAAGTAAGTAGATATTGAATTGCTCAGACCCTTAATGCATTGCTATGGATAAAAAATTGATCATAAGTCAAACAAAATTTGCAACATAATTATCAAGGGTCCTACTTTAGGTTTTATGGAAAATAAAGATGCCCTACCTGCAAGAAGTTTAGTTTTTGTTATACCTCTGTCTTTGTCACTGCACTGATTTTTGTAAAGAAGTCTATACTTAATATTTTTCTTTCACCTTCTTCTGTCATTCAGTTTGAGCCATCCTGCCCAGAGCACTGAAAAGATCCTGCCCTCAGGCCCTTATTATTCTTCCCCACAGTGAATGCTGCCTGTGGCCCAGGCCCCAGCTGGGGGCTCACATTCTCCCTGTGCCTTGCAGACTCTGGATTCATTACACTGAGCACAGATATTCCACAAGCACGGCTTTTAGAAGCACATGCTCAGAGACAGTCTAACTTCCAGGCTCACGTGAGGAGCTTTGGCTACTCTGAGAATCATTTATTCGCAGGAGAACCCACAGCCGGGGGTGCCCTGGAACAGGGGAGGTAGGAGCATACATAGTAGGGTAAAGGGGACATGATGAAGCCATCTGTGTTCAAATGTCTTCCCTTCTCTGCTTGCCCAGGTGCCTGATGTCACCTCACTCTTTTGACTCATGCTACTGTCCCAGTTCACAGGGTGTGATCCCCAGAGCAAAATCACCTGGACCATCTGGTGATGTCAGAAATGCAGATTCTGAGGCCTCCCCCTGGAGCTACTGAGTCAGCGACTCTGGTGTTGGGTCCAGAATGTAGCAAGCCTTCCAGGTGCTTCTGGTGCACTCTCGGATTTGAGAACCTCTGCGCTACTAAACTAGTAGTTAGTAACGCTGAGCCATTACTGGCTCCCAATCCATCAGAGGAGACATTTAGTTTCTCTTGGACAAGTTAGTCTTGATTAGGAGCATATGGACAGGAAAGTTCTAGATATCTAGAAGACTAGGGAGTGGGCGCTAGCTAGTTTCATCCTAGTTTCATGGACCACCTACTTACCACATTCTTAATTTTACTGCAAAACCCAGTCTAGCTATGGCATGCTATCATTTTCTGTCACTTTTCATCCTAACATTTTGTTTGGGGGCACTCCCTTTTTATACTTCATTTTGTTTCCATTGTAACTGATTTGTATTCTGTTTATGAATGCTGCAAACACTGACTTGGCTGCTTTCAATCCCAAGTGAGTACTACTTTGTGAACACTAGAACCTTTCTGGAATTTTCCGTTGTGTTTCTTCCATCCTCATCTCAAGTGACTTAGACCATCCCTGTGACACTCTCACTATAAAACACATTAAGAGGATGTCTGGCCTGAAAATGTTGGATACTAGAAAATGTCTGGATTCCCGCGGTGAAGCGTAGGCAGGGGGTCCTCTAGCGGTTGAGTGTGGCTTTAGTTGTGCCTGATGTTCTCTTGGTCGGCAATGTGAGGAAAGGTAACAGATGTCCCTGATGTCTATTAAGTGAAGCTCTCTTCATAACAATACTAAAAGTCCTCTGGGTTTGTAGATTCTGAGGAATATTCTACCCTGGGTTGAGACTGAGTTCCTTAATCTCCAGCCCAAATGCCCAGGAATGAGCATGGAGGGGACTTGTGACCACATCCGGCCCTGTGGATGGTTTATGGGAGGTGTCCAGGGGAGCCTCAGGATTAAAATTTTCTCTCTGGGTTCCTAACTAAATGTGGACAGCAGCAGGAGCCAATGGGGCTTGCAATGCATTTCAGGCTATAGTCTGGACACTGGCTGGTGGGCTACCCCACCCTCCCCAAATCTGCTGTAGAGAAACTACCTCCTCTGCCTTCGCTTCTAAGGTGAGGAGGAAGGTGAGGAGAAGCTGGCCTTCACTCCTCCCTTGCAGTTGACGGGAAGAGAGAAGGGAAGCGGTCTTCCAAAAGACCTTTGTGAGCGGAGCTGCATCCCCTGGGGAGCTCGGCCCTGTGAGTGATGTGCGGTCCCCAAGGGAAGGAGCAGGCAGGCAACAGAGGGAAGAAGTAGGAGTGGAAGAATCCACACGGAAATGAGAGGAGGCAGATTATGGTTCCTCCAACTGTCCTTATGGACCTGAAGGGGCCCGTAGATGCACTTAAGGATGTGGGCCAGTGGATGGCCATGCATGGCAGGGATGTAGAGTGAACAGCTCAGAGCGGCACCTTTGGGTTCCCGATGTTCCTGCAGGTCTCAGATATTTTCCTGGTTTTGCACTCAAGGGGCAGATTGGAGAGTATCCTGGCAAACAAGTTAGGACAGGCCCAGCTGACCCTAGAAAGCGCACATGGAGAGGGACCAGAGCGAAGGGAAGTGTTGGTGCGGGGGAATGGTACAAGGAAGCCCATTGTGCAGAGCGGGAGGTTTGTAGGCTCTGGGACACCCTGCCTGGGGCAGGATCGTGACTCCGAGTATGAGCTGTGTGACCTTGGGCGATGGGCAAGTTAACCTCTCTGGGCCTCAGTTACCTCATCTGTAAAACAGGGAAACTAGAGATTTGGGAACTGAACAAATGATATGTATAAGGGTTTGGCATAGTGCGAGGCATGGAATTAGTTCTTCGAAACGTTTTTAAGTCTAATGGCACAGAAATGGGTCTAGCGGCCAGTAGGGATTCACAAGGCACGTTAGTCTCCAACTTGTCTCAGCACCAGTTTCTGTCCGTCAGTTTTGAAAGCCAGCTGTGCAGTGTCAGGCCACAGCCATCCTAGACTGACCCAGCTGTTCTGGTTCAGCTGGGGCCTGGTCTCCCTCCCAGCAACCCTCCCTCCCCAGGTAAAGCGAGGAGGGAAAAAGGGCTGCACAATGGAAGCCAGTCCTGGCTCTAGGAACTAGCGGGAGATAGGAAAGGGGGGCCTAGTGGAGGTCCCAGGCCACACACCCAGAAGCCACTGACCCTTCCCCATGTCGTGTGCTCATCCACAGTGAATACAACCGTCTTCAATGCCTCAGCCCCGATGGCACCAAACACCAACAGTTCTCTGGTAAGTCCTCTCCTCTTAGACCAGACATTCAAGCGCTTTTTCTTTGTTTGTTCCAGGTGAGAGTGGGTTGTGTGTAAAAAAAAAAAAAAGGGTGGGGGCAAGTTGGGAAACAGACCAAAGCACAGCAACCCAATCAAATCCATGTGCATAAATATGACACATACACACAAAGGAAGGGGCGGTAAGGGAGAATGGTACACGAGGCTGTACACACAGGCTATAATCATCCTTTATTTGTCTTCGTTCTACCTTGTCCTTCCCTCTCCACCTAGGCCCCCCAGTTCCTACCCACCAATGTCAGTCCCCATTGTTGATCAGTGCCCCACCCCCGGTGACTCTGACCTGTCCTTTGCATTCTGCACTGTCCAGGATTTTGAGGTTTCATTTGCCTTTCCCAATAATGACAAATGGTGGCCCGCAGAGGCCACCATCCCGGTGTGAGTGGGTCTAACAGCAGGGAGTTCAAATGCAAACGAACAGAAGCAGCTAGAAAGCCTACAGACTTTTAGTGTTCCTGAGGTTGCTTCCTGAGCTACCTGATGGCTCCACCTCTACATATCCCCGTTGGCAGTTTAACCTAAAATTTCTCAAATATCAGACTTTGAGGGAAGAAGAAAGGACTCATCAGTGCCTCTTTCTCAGTGCGTACTATGTGCAAGGCGCTGTACACTGAGAGCTAAAAAAATCTGAAAAATCATTGTGGGGCAGGAGTGTATCACAGTGGTAGAGAGCTCGCATAGAATGTGCAGGGCCCTAGGTTCAATTGCCAGCACTGTGAAAAACAAATAAACTAAAACACTGTCTTAGTTACTTTTCTAGTTGCTGAGACAAAATATCCAACATCCAAAGTTACAGGGGGAAAGGTTTATTTAGCTCAGTTTGTAGAGGTTTCAGTCCATAATCAGCTGGGTCTAAAGCAGGGCAGCACATGGCAGAGGGGCAACAGTTTATGATGGTGGACAACAGCAAAAGCAACAAGAGAGCAGAGACAAGCCTCTTTCTGTCCCTTATACCATACCCAGTCTACCGGGACTAGGACAGTGCCAATCCAATCAAAGGATTGATCCAGCAATCACCCACCTTTAATCCCAGTATTGCACTACAAATCAATCACACACTCTAGATTAAAACCAAAAGAAAACCCCATGACCACATGAGGCTTTGGAGGGACATCTAGACACAAACCATAACAAACACCAATGTGGCCTCTGTCCTCCAACTTACCTTTGAACCTGAAAAGTTATTGGATGACACAAGCAGAGTGTGCCACGCATCAAATATAGCCTATGCGTGTACCTCTGACCTTGGTGGCAGGAAAAGAGACCTGCTGAAGAAGCCAGGGGAAAGCCTCATGGAGAACATGGAGTGTGTTTTATGTTTCGGGTTGAGAGGAGGTTGACTCGGTAGAAAGAGGCATAATCCAGGCCGAGGGAATATCATAGAGAGAGGCCAGGAAGGAAAAGCACAAAAATTGTGCAGGGGACAGTGGGTGGGCTAAGAAGGGTGGGGGAAAGGGACTGCATGGGGGAAAATCTCAAGAGACAAACTGGAAAACAGTCACTGGGAGCAGATGAGAGTGGGCACATAGAGGAGATGAAGCCCCAGAATGTAAGACAGTGTGGGAAGCTTGCACACCAGATCGCCTCACTTGTATCAGCTCCTGCATAACAAACTGTCCTCAAAACCAGTGAGTAAAGGCAGCAGCAGCTATGATTCTCATGATTCTGTAGCTTGGTTGGCTGTTCTGCTGGTCCCACCTGGACTCAGTTACATCGCTGACTGAGCCAGCATGCCTGCTGGGGCTGCCTCTGACAGATCAGCTCGGAGGGCTCAGCCAGTCTCCCCACGTGGTCTCCTCAGTCCTCTTCACAGCAGTGTCTCAGTTTCCGAGAGTATGAAGGCAGAATCTGCAAGCCCTCTTGAACTGGCTCAAGGTCTCTTCCTCCCTTATTCTATTAGTCCAAGCAGCTCACGGGCCAGCCCAGATTAAAAGCAGTGGGAAAATAGATTTCACCTTTGACAGGAAGACCAGTGTCACGCTGTGGACACTGTGGACACATGGAAGTACAATTCCTTGGGGATCTTATTTGTAACAAGCTATTTTGCTTATCTTAATCCAAACATTCATTATAGCTAGTTGCAAGTATCTGTTTGCTTTAGTACGTAGCTGTTCTAAACATTTCCACATTAACTTTAAAAAGTAGGTATGACCGGTGCAACCACTGTGGAAATCAGTGTGAAGATTCCTCAAAAACCTAGGGTTGGAGGTGCCATGTGACCCAGCTATTCCCTCCTGGGTGTCTTCCCAGAAGAATTAAAAACACCATACCACAGTGATATATGTGCATCCATGTTTATAGCAGCACAATTTATAATAGCTAAATCTTGGAAACAACGCAAATGCCCATCAGCCAAGGAATGGATAAAAAAAGATGGGGTCTTTTTATACAATGGAGTACTGCTCAGCCATAAAGGACAAACTTGAGACTTATAGGTAAATGGATGCAATTTGAAACCATACTCAAAAGTGAAATAAACGAGACTAACGTGTAGACATCATATTGTCTCCCTAGCGTGAAAAGCTGAAAGAGTAAGTAAGATCCAAAATGTACAATAGGTATTGTAAAATGGGAAGAAACTGTTCAAAACAAAAGAGAAACTCGGATGAGGGAAAGGAGGAAAGAAGGAAAGAGCAAATATATACATATATATGTATATAATCATACTTAAGATAGTTATACTACTAATTTCTTAGTTCATTAAAAAGAAAGTACAGTTATTGTACTGTATTGTTTGAACAGTTAGATGCCTCTGTCTTGTACTCTGAATAACTAATTTAAAGGTAACAATACACAATATATTAACCGTTATTACTCTCCTATTACCTTGTTTTGAAATTTTCTCTCTTTAAAATAAAAATTTTAAAAATCTGTGTTAAATTTTATTATAAATCACTCTCCTTTTCTTCTTCCTTCTCTTATTACTCTTAGGAATATATAAACAAAGTCATCCATTGGAGATTCATTTCAGAATCCCCTAGGAATGCCAAAATTTGTAGATGCTCAAGTCCTTTACATGAAGTGGTGTTGTATTTAAATCTAACCTATGCCCATCCTCTTGTACGATTTAAATCATCTCTAGACTACTGATAGTACATAATGCAAAGTAAATGCTATGTAAATAGTTATTGTACTGTATTGTTAAGAGAATAGGAATGGGAGAAAGTTTGTACATGCTCAGTATAGATACATTTTTTTAGAAATATTTTTGACCTGCAGTTGGATCAATCCCATGGATACAAAGGATATAAACTTTATATTTACATATATAACTTCATTGTTTTGCATGGCCTGGATTTTAGGATCTGGAACATCAAAGGGGGAACTGAAATGTTCCAAGAAGGGACTGATTAAGTTGTGACTGAGGGGAAGGAAAGGACAGAATACACATGAGACCCCAGGACAGAGGTGTCAGCAAGACCCACCGAGGTGGATTCACCAAGACAGGAGCCATGCCTGCTGAGGGAGAGGCTTCCCCCACCCTTGCACTACTCCTTCTTGCTAGCAAAGCCACGCATCCTCTGTGTCAGCTCCTGATCTTCCGAGAGAACTGCCTGCTCGGCACGCCTTTCACCAGCTTGTCCCCAGGAATCCCACTCTTGCTGAGGGCACTAGTGTAGCCCACAGGGCTGGGGCCCCTCAGAGGCTGGGCAGATGTGTGGGCTGCCTGGTACTACAGAGGGAAGGGCACAGCCGACCCACCATAAGATCCTGACTCTATCTCCTGTGCTTGGTCTCCAAGTACAACCCCCTTAACCTCACAGCACTGGACTGGTCCCTGCTGAGCAAGAAGGAGTGCCTGAGCTACGGTGGGCGCCTACTCGGGAGCTCCTGCCAGTTCATCCCAGACCTGGCGCTCATGTCCTTCATCCTTTTCTTCGGGACATACTCCATGACCTTGACCCTGAAGAAGTTCAAATTCAGCCGCTATTTCCCTACCAAGGTAAGTGCACCTGGCAGTTCTGGGGACCTAAGTCAGACCTACCAAGTAAGGAAGGCCTCTGCTGAGTCTCCTAAGAGAGTCTGTCCCCTAACATAATGAACATCATGTGGGCACTGGCCCATAGTAGTTTAAATTAAGGGCACAAACTTTGGTGTCATGGAGGACTAGGTTCTTTGTTTTGAAGCCCCTTGACAACACTTGGTATTTTCAGGCTTTCATAGTTAACTTTTCTGAGTAGTAGTAATTTATTGTGTTTCTTAAATTTTTCATTGCCAGGATGACTAATGACGTTGAAAACATTTTCATGCATTTATTGAATACTTGGCCATTTGACTTTCTTCTTGGGAGTGTTTGTTTAAATCTCTTGCACATTTTCTTATGGGTTGTCTTTTTCTTTCTGAATGTGCAAGAGTTCTTTATACATTGTTAAAGAAGCCCTTTTGTAGTCATATGTGTCCTCAATATATTTTCCTACTCTGTGACTAGCTTTTTACTTTTATAATGGGATCTTTTGATAAAGAGAAATTCTTAGTGTGACTGTAACTTAATATAGTAAAATTTCCCTCAAAGAAAATACTGGACATAGATATCTTCCTATGTTATCTTCAAAAGCGTCACTGGTTTTTTGGTTTGGTTTCATTTCGTTTCGGTTTTTTGGTGTGTTTTTAGTTTTTTTGAGACAGGGTCTTGCTATGTAGTTCAGGCTGGCCTGGACTCACTATGTAGCCCATGCTGGCCTCGAACTTGGGGTGATCCTCCCACCTCAGCGTCCCAGTGCTGGGATTACAGGGGTGCACCACCATGACTGGCTTATTGTTTTTTTCTTTCATGTTAGATCTATATTCCAGCAGAACTGACTCTGATGTATATAGTATGAGATGGTGTTTCTTTGTGTTTTTATATAAATAGTCAATTGTTCCAGTATTTTTTTTAAGGCTGTTGTATCTCCGCTGTTTTACAAGGCTTCCTTTGCTATATAGCAAATGTTCCTATGTGACACGGTCTGTCTGTGGACTCTTTATTCTGTTTCACTGGTTGAGATGTACTCCAGCATCACAATCTTCATTTCCATAGCTTATAAGTATTTTTAAAAATTTTATTCTTATTAGTCCATGTGTGCAGTACAAAATGATTCCATTCGCTGTGTGGAGTTGGTACATGTACACAACACATCTTAATTCTTTTCACATGCCCTCCCTCTCCCTTCCCATTCCTTCCATCTCTTAGAAGTCTTTGTGTCTTATAGAGGGAACTGTCTTTCCTTGTCTCCTTTCAATCCTTAGCTTGGACTTTACACTTCCACATGATTTTTTGTTTGTTTGTTTCAAAAATAATCCTTATTCTTCACTGGGCATGATGGTGCGCTCCTGTAATCCCAGCACTTGGAAGGCTGAGGCAGGAGGATCGTTGCAAGTTTGAGACCAGCCTGGGCTACAAAGTGAGCTTAAGGCCAGCCTGAACTGTATAGCGAGACTCTGTCTCAAAAGGACCCCTCACCAAAAAAAAATCTTTATTTTTAAAAGCGAGTGTGAGCATTACAGGAAACAAAAACACAAGAAGCAAAGAACAAAGTCACCCACAGGCATGAGCAGCTTGGCTGGCTACATCCTCCTGGGCCCCGTGTGCACGTGCCGTTCTGTGTGGCTGAGATTGTACAGGGTGTGTCATGCTTTTCCACGCATCATAAACATTCACCAATTCAGAACCCCAAAGCTACAACAGTATTTTGATGACCAAGAATACACCTCACCAACTCAATCTGTTGGAAAAAATTATAACCCTGCCTTTCTTGGGAAGAAAAATTTCACTGAAGATAAAAACGACAGCAGCCTCTCGATAGAAGTCTTGGCAGAGTTACAACTGAAATATGGCAGTCCTTTAATGTTCAATCTAAAATGAGACATGAAGCGACAGAGTACACCAAACTTGTTTTTGAGGTTATCAGATCTCTGCCTTTTTTTTTTTTTGGAGACAGAGTCTCGCTCTGTAATTCAGGCTGCCCTTAAGCTCATTATGCTGGCCTGGAACTTGTGGCAGTCCTGCTTCAGCCTCACAAGTGGTGAGACTAGAGGCATGCACCACCACAGCTGGCTAGATCTCTACTATTAAGATATTAGCAAGAAGGCATGTTCCTCCTGAATTATTAACACATCCTGATCATACAGCTGGAAGCTGCACGCACATCAGTGGTTCTCACCAAAATGTAAATCTGAACACACTGCACACATCTCTGCGCTAGGCTTCCTTCTGCCCCTCTGCTCCAGCCTAATGACGAGTCCTGACACACACTGTCTACAGTACTGTGACAGTTCCAAGATGCATCTTTTCTATCAATTAGAACAAAAAAATATTTAATCTACCTCTATTTTCAAATCATACATTGTTACCTCAGGACATCTATAAGGCTTAGATGCTACGCAAGAGTATGAACTTTGTATACAGTAAGCCCACGTACTTTACCAAAAATGCACACACATGCCTACAGTTATAAATCTCAAACCATCTTCCAGATGTGCAGACACTAGCGAAGAGCCTTTGCTCACGCTCACCCTTCCCCTTTTCCCTCCTCACCATTTCCGTTACTAAGTCCAGGACCACAGCCAGCTCCAAGAGGTAGCTTTGACAAAGGTCACTTCCGGAAGGCAGTTCTTCCTAAACACTAACAAAAGGACATTTATATAGGTAAGATTTTGCAGTCGAGTGTGGTGGCACAAGCCTGTGATCCCAGAACTCTCGGGGAGAAGGCAGGAGGATCACTCACCACAAGTCAGAGGTCAGTCTGGGCTGCACAGTGAGTTCAAGGACAGCCTGAACTACATAATGAGACCCTGTCGCAAAAACTAAAAGCAAACATATATATGTATCGATTATTTTGTTATTCTAACATAATTTGGGTGTTAAGGTTTATCTTTTATTTGTTGTTTTTTGTTTTTTTGGTTTTTTTTCCAGTACCGGGAATCGAACTCACAACCTCCCGCTTGCCAGGCAGGTGCTGTGCCGCTGAGCTAAATCCCCAGCCCCTAGGCTTATCTTTTAATACCAAGCAATATTAACAAAATGTACACAGAGAACAACAGCTAGACAATCTGGACTCATTTAACAGGCAAAGAGGACCTCTCTCTCTGCACATTTCCCCTCCCGTACCTCATGAACAGTCGGCACACTCTCCAAGACAGGCGCTAGGGTTTCCTCCGAGTTCAAGCCTTGCCCTCATCACACCTGCTGGGTGACCCAGCTCAGTGTACTATACCAGCAAACAGCCATACGGATCACAGCGCCCAGGCTGACTACTCCCTGCCAGGCACTTCGAATGCGCCATGGCTCACTTGCTGTTGATGTAGGTTCCATCATCATCTCCATCTCAGAGAAGAGGAAAGCGAGGCTCAGAAAGCTAGCATGCATCCCCAAGGTCACACAGCCGTAAGGGCTTGCGCATAGGCCTGCTAGCTCCGAAGCAGCCTTTAACTCTTCTCTTTGCTGCCGGAGTGCTGCGTCAGCCCAGGATGAGTAGATACTTTGCTCACTTGCTCCTCTCCTTTCTGCAGGTCCGGGCCCTGGTGGCTGACTTTTCCATCATTTTCTCCATCCTGCTGTTCTGTGGAATCGATGCCTGTTTTGGCCTGGAAACACCCAAGCTGCATGTGCCCAGTGTTATCAAGGTTTGCCCCTTGCCCCTGCTCGGGACACTCGCCCTGCCTGTACACTCGCTGTCGCCCTTGGACCTCTGTGCTCATCAAACTTTCTCCTCTCTACCTAAACGCTGTTGGTTCTGTGTGTGCGCCACTCCTTCCTTCCTGTGTAGTTTCCCAGGGACTTCCTTTGAGAGGAGGGTACAGACATAATTACAGCGAAACCTTGGAAGGAGGAAGATGCCAGCTGAAACCTCTTCTGAGCGTTTCCAGTTCCCCAACCTTGGCAGTACAAGCCGGGCCAGCTGGGATCTGTTGAAAATGATACCTTGGAGGAGTGATTCTCAAAGCATGGCCTCTGGACTAGCATCACATGCTCACTTGGGAACTTGTTAGAAATGCAAATTCTCAGTCCCTTACACCTATAGAATCCGAAAACTGGGGCTGGGGCTGGCAACCTGCATTTTCATAAGTCTTCTGGGTGATTCTGGGCATATTCAAAGCTGAGAATCACTGCTTCAGAAAGTACCCATTAGTCCAAGTTGGTGCCGTTTGCCGTGGCTGAGCTCAAACCCAGTTCCCCCCCAGATGCACCAACATCTAACCAGGGTCAAGAGTCCAGGTTCTAATCTAGTGCTACCCTCTTTGCTTTTGAGGTCCTGACTTGCAAGATGTTATTTCAGGGTTTGCCTGAGTAGTTTAAACACATACGACTTGTTTGCCCTGAAAAGAACCTTTCTCTTAAATACAACAGGAGAAAATCATCAGCTTCTGCACAAATAACCCCTTATTTTCAAAGTGCAGGTCTGAATTGATGTTTGGCGTTTTATAATTCTACAGACAGGCGGCTCAGGAGAGGCAGGCATGTCAGACCCTGGGCCCATCGAATGCTTTATCCTTGCCCACAGGGCCTCATTTCTGCCTCTTGCTGTTTTGTGATTAGTGACCACATTCCATCTCCTGCTCCCCTTTCTGATCTCCTTCCTGTGTCCCAACCGACCCCGGGGCAGCTGCAGCAAATTATCCCCTAATTCTGCAGATCCCAGCTGCGTTCACACTTCTTTCCCTGTCTGTGGCCTCTTGGTCTCTAAAGCTGCAGGTGCCTAACATCTTTAAGGGAGAACATTGTACTTTAAAAGTACCTCTGGGTGGGGGAAGGTAGCAAGAGGGGAGCGTGGCCAGCAGGCAAGTGCTGGAACAAGAGAGAGGGGAAAGGACCCTCTTCATTTGCTCTGCTCAGCCCACGCGGCCTGACCGAGGCTGGTTTGTGGCCCCCTTTGGGAAGAACCCGTGGTGGGTGTACCTGGCAAGTATCCTGCCCGCTCTGCTGGTGACCATCCTGATCTTCATGGACCAGCAGATCACAGCCGTCATTGTCAACAGGAAGGAGAACAAACTGAAGGTGAGGTGGTGCTAGGGGCAAAGTCAGAAGGATTTCAGGAGGGAGATGCTCAGTACCCTGAGCAGAAGACAAGTTCCCACTTGGTGTGTTGAGGGGATTGACTTGATGTGATTAAGGATCAGGATCGAGAGCAGTTGGGCCCCTGGGCACAGCCTTCTTGCCTCTCAAAGTAACCCTCCAGCTCTGTGCCCAATGAAAGTAAACTGGGGCATCTAAGCAGATACTGACAGAGGGATAGGCCTGGAATTATGAGGCCAGGAAACCTTCTTAGACCCCTCGACCCTAAAACTCCCTGCTTCTGAGTCTAAGAAGACTCAAGCTACCCTCCCCTGACCCCACCTAGGCTACATGTAAGGCCTGCCCCAGCTTGGGCTCCTCTTCCAGAAATTGCAGAGGCACTGTGGCCACTGGGCAAGAGCCCTTCTCCCCAAACTCAGGGCCTTTGGATGCATGAACACTCCTCTCCTCCATTACCTGTGTCCCTTACCCAGCTGACCTTTTCAGACCCGGTGGCAACAAGCCACCCTTAGGGCTGGTGAGATCTGAACACCTCTGAAGCCCTCACAAGGAGCTGCTCAGGATGACAGCCCCCTCACAGAGTAACTCTGGACGGGGTGTGGGGGTTGAGCTGGGTTCCACAAAATAGCTGCTTTGAGGAAGAGCAGACTCCCAGAAGGCCCACTCCCTCTCTGTCCCACTGCCCCTGCAGAAGGCCGCCGGCTACCATCTGGACCTGTTCTGGGTGGGCATCCTCATGGCCCTGTGCTCCTTCACGGGGCTCCCCTGGTATGTGGCTGCCACTGTCATCTCCATTGCCCACATTGACAGCCTCAAGATGGAGACGGAGACCAGCGCCCCTGGGGAGCAGCCCCAGTTCCTGGGGGTCAGGTACGAGGGGTCAGGGCCTGGGTCACCTGAACGCGAGCGGGAGAGGGGAAACCTGCTTTTCTTACCATTAAGGAATTTTGGTGGAAAGGGCGGCTATTGTGACACCTCAGGAGCCACAGGAGCAGGAATGACATCCTGACTGGAAAGAGAGAGGGAAATTCGGTTCTAAGTGGTATATTTTCTTTGCAGCCTCTAAGTAGCACACACACACACACACACACACACACACACACACACACACATGAGCCCCAGAAGCTCTCACTACCTAGGCATGATAGGCCCTCTTCATGTCCTGCCTTTGGACTCTCCTCAAGACCCTCCAGGTAGGCTCAGGTCCTGCTTTATCTCCATTCCTCCAGAAAGACTTCCTGGGCCCATGCCTGCTGTCTGGACTATGGCCTTGGCCTATCACTTCTGTTCTTTCCCTTGTGGCTCTTTTCATTCCTGTGTCAGGTTCCCAAGCTCTTTCAGGCAGGGAAGCACATCTAAGAAGATGTGCTTCTTAGGCCTCCTTAGTCCACACCAGGCCAAGGCATCCTCCTAAAGAACTGCCCTGTGGGCTTCTTCCCAGGCCTTGGGACAGCTGGTGCTGTCCAGCCCTGAGAGAGGCTTCTCTGCCTGACTAAAAGGCCCAAGACTGGGGAGTCCCTTGAGCTCGTGGGTCTAAGCAACCTGACCCAGAGTCGAGGGCTCCAACCTGTATTGTGCATGGGCCTGGCACTCAGGAAAGCCTGCCTGCCTAACTACGGACCCGTGTTCCGCCAGCAGTGGGAGATCGTTTCACGAGGGACAGGTAATAGGTATATAGGTGCCATGATTATCTCTGTTCGACTCAGCTCAAGACCTCCAGGACCTTGCCTGATGCCACATAATGAGTATGTGGCAGAGCCAAGTTCAACCCCAGTCTGTCTGGCTCAAGCAGCCCTGTCATTAGACACTACTCTGAACAACCTTCCTGATGCCCCTTCAACATTTTCTGCCCTCTGTCAGAGGCCCCTTTCTTCCCTGGGTGGGTCAGCTGGGCCTCAGGCTGATGTAGAAGCCCTTTGAGGCCATGGCCTTGGACATAACCTTCAGGGCCCACAGAGGGGCAGGCGGCTGGGAACGGTCACTGAATGTCTCCAAGGTCACCCCTGACAATGTGCTCTTCTCTGCCAGGGAACAGAGAGTGACTGGCATCATTGTCTTCATCCTGACGGGAATCTCTGTCTTTCTGGCTCCCATTTTGAAGGTGAGGCTCTGCACCCCACTCAGGCCTCATCACCTGGGGAAACACAGAACTAGGCCTCAGGGGTGGGAGGACTACTTGCCTGTGGACCCCTAAAAATGATAAGACCTTATCACGCCACTGTGCCATCCCAGTGCCATCATTGTCATCTTGTGTACTATTGCCGATCCTGTCTACTCTCTCTCACGAACCTCGGCTGTGCTCCCTCCTTCCCAGAGAACGCCTCCCCAGCAAGTTCTGCCAACTTCCAGCCCTGCTTAGATCAGGAACTTCCCAGCTGGGAGTGTCCATGTTGCTATGGTTTGGAGCTTGCTCAAGGCCTTCTTGCTTGCCCATTTTCTGGTTTAAACCTTGTGGGGTGGGGATGGGGATGTTGAACTGTTCTCTGGGCCTCTTCTCTGCTCCTCTATCTGGCATGTCTTGGCACATAAGTGACTTTTTCCCACACAGTTTGAACCTTTTCTTGCTCATGTCCCACCAGGCCAGCTGGAAGAGACTAACACAGCAGTGGTGCTACGTTAGAGGCAGGTCTCCTGTACTACGTTAGGAGAAGATGTTTCTGCAGCCTCTCCACTGCAGCCAGTCGCTTATCAATGACCCTTTCCCTTGACGGTTACCCACATAAGACATTCCTTTCTTGAATTACAGCTATTTGTAATTGCTCCAAATGTTTGCAGCTTTTTTCCCTCCCTTGAACGTCTCAGAACAACTTGTTGGGGGCGACCTGGTAAAAAAACAAAGACCAAAGCACAGTGGTTCTTGACTCACTTATGAAAAATGTTTCTGGCATAAGAATCAGTGCTGGGCATACCTAAGCAGTAGGTTTAGGTTGAGGAGTTTTAACAAAATATTTCCATGTGCTAGAAACAGGTAACACACAGGCGGACAGGTATTTTGTTTATGTAAACTGTGTTTTAGGGGCCGAGGATGTAGTTTGGTGATAGAGCACTTGCTTAGCATGGTTGAAGCCCTGGGTTCAAACCACAACACTGAAAAAAAACCAGGGTATATTTTATTTTATTTTAATTTATTTTATTTTATAAGTCTATTTTAAATGGTCAGAAAAGATATACTTTTGTGGAAAGAGCTCTAAAGAACCACTGTGTATTCCAGTCCTGATACTATTTGATAAACATTTGTGTCAAAAACTCCACTCTGAGAACAGTATACTTTAAGGGTCAAAAATTCCTAGAAACAAGGGTTGGGGGTTTAGCTCAGTGGCAAAGTGCCTGCCTGGAAATCGCAAGGTCGTGAGTTTGGTTCCCAGTACCGGAGAAAAACAAAAACAAAAAAATTCCTTGAAACATTTTGTAGACAGCAGTTCCCGTGTGCCTGTGACAGGAACTCAGACCTTGGGCAGTCCAGGCGCATTGCCCCACTGTCGTGCTCAGCAGTTCAGCCCTTTCCACTAGCCTTTATGCGTATTTGAATAGAACACAAAGCAGGTAGAAAATTCCACTACAGTTTCCTTTCTTTTGTCTCACTCATAACAGGATCAGTTCTTTCATGGACATATTATATTCTGTGGATACACTTTCTAGGTTTTCATGGTCATACTGTTGACATCTGATTTTGATAAATTCTTGTTTCTGCACTAATATTGTCTATCTTCTGAATGTAGGTAACCTGGACACAGCAGTCTGATTAAAATAATTGAAATGAGGGAGTAGGGCTGTAACTCAGTGGCAGAGTACTTGCTTAGCACACACAAAGCTCTGGCTTTGATCTCTGTTGCTGCAAAAGAAAAAAAAAGAAAAGAAAAGGAGAAAAAGAAAAGAGTTCTATGCACAAGATTTGACATTGCCAAAGCTCTTGGTGTTCTTGTCCTTTTAGTGATGTATAGTCACCTTGCTCACTCTTGGGTGCATGTAATAGTTCCACATTTTGAGTAACAGTGCAAATTTCCTTCTATTGCAGTTCTTAGCCCAAATGTAACTCTTTCAGGCTGTGGAGTGTATGTCTATATTAATTTATGCATTTTATAAAATAGGCTGTGTAGATGGGTCTACATAGTTCCAAATGCTTTCATATTGTCTTTTCATCCAATACAACAGGATCTGAAAAACTCTACCTACCTATATTCATTCACAATGAGTAAAAAAAACCCCTGTAATATGCTTTATTTTGCCAATAGTTAATCTATTGGATAAGTTTTATACAAAGTTTTTGATAAACTTTGTGCAAATTTTTGGTAAATTTTGTGCAAAATTTTGATAAATAGACCTATCTAGATTTTTTAATTGATCATAGCATTTAAGATTGGATTATATCAAGGTCCATACCTTTTATAAAACAGACCTTCAACAATAGACCTTTTATAAAAATAGACCTTCAAAACTGTTAAGTGATTAAAGCGTTATCACTAGCTGACACACCAGTACTGGACTAATTCTATGCTAAGGAAAAGAAATTTGGTACAGCCAGTTGAAGAAAAATATAATTTAATTTAACATGTGAGATCCTAGCTTAATCTTATAATTTATTTTCCATCAAGATAATTTTTCCAGAAACATTAACTTTTTGCAACTGTAAGTTTGCCTATGCCTATTAACACTAGGCATGGCTGAGTATTGGACTCACAGAGTGCTTAGCCTGAGGGTTAGGGGTGTAACTCATGCTAGATCACTTGCTTAACATGTATCAAGGTTTGGGTCAATCCCCAGCATGACCAAAAACAGACAGGAGAAAAGAGGGAGAGAGAGAGGGAAAGAAAGGAGAGGGGGCAATTACAAAGGACAGCTGTTACTCAAGACCACACTTTGGTCAAAATCTTGTTTATGTAGGTGACAGAGGAGATAATCATGCAAACTGTGGAGAGGGTAACTTGCATCCTACTTACTGGTCCTGCCATTTTCACTAATGATCCTCTATCACCTGTTCAATATACTTTTGTTTGTACCAATTCTTCCAATAGAATTTTGTTCCAGGGCATCTCAATTATTTTCTGTTACTGGGCATTGAACCTAGGGCCTTTATTGCACTATATCCTTTAGCCCTTTATTTTTTATTTTGAGACAGGTCTCACAAAGTCACTAAGTTCCCTGGGATAGACTGAAATTACAGGTGTGAACCACCATGTCCAGCTGTGTCTCAAACTTTATATAAAAATCAGCTGGAGATATTATAAAAAATAGATACTAATTCTAATTCAGTAGGTTTTGGTGGGGGGCCAAATTTTGCAGTTTTAACAACCTGACAGATGTTGCTAAAGATGTTATTCCACTATACTATGAGTATCAAGTATCCCCCCCCATAAGAATCAGTAAATAGTTGTATTGATTTTACACCGTATTCAGTGCTAATCTTCAGACTTTCCAGAACCAATCTGCAAATATTTGGTTATCTTGTCAAATGAAGGCACAGAGGGATGCAGTAGCCACAGATGTAACGGGCAGCATGAACGACTTATCCACTCAATCCTGTAGATTTGCCACTCTATCCCAAGGCTGTGAAGGTTTGTTTTGCTTTTTGTTTGCACTTCGCTACAGTTCTTTAGGACTGCCTCTGAGGAGTCAGAAACTCCCTACCCAGGCCCCCTGTGACCCGCGGGGTTTCAGCCTCAAACTACATAAGAAGGCTATAATCATTATTGACTGCTTTAACTATTTAACTATTAAAACAAACATGGAAGGTAATGTTTTGCCACTTTTTATGTTTCATTAATATTTGAAAAGAGCCTGTTCTTGGAGATCCATAGAAGATTTGTGCTGATTAATCTGAAATTCCAGGTCATAGCCCCATCACTGGGATGAGTGCGATGTCCTAGCCTTTTGGGGTTTGCTGGGAAAGCTGCAAAGGACAAGATGAGGACAATTTCCTTGGCTTCCTAATGCGATGACGTAATAATCGGTGACTGGCAATTATAAATCATCTAATACTTAATCCAGCTCTCAAATTTGATGTGATTTTTGCACTCATTAGGGCAAAAGTGGAATTGTAAGTGATTTTAAATTTGAGTTGCTCTAAGTTGTAGCTAAATTTTTTACTCAAGATTTAATTTCTCAATTGCTCCCGCACCTTGAGGGTAATTAGGACAGTGTTTTTTGAAGTTTTTACCTTGATTCATAATTACGCAAAAATATCATAAGCTAACGGAATGATAAAAGGGTCATATCATTTCCTATTAAACTTTTAGTTTAAGGGACTGTAGTGTAACTCAATAGTAGAACACTTGCCCAGTATGTTCAAGGCTCTGGTTTTGATCCCCAGTACTCCCTAGATACATAAATGACGTTTTAGTTCAAATGTCTTGGGTTAAAATTTACAGTGCACAGGTCCAAGTCATGCTTTGTATTTAAAAATGAATGCAGTCTAACTTACCTTAAAAGAGAGGTTATTTACTTGGTTGGATGTGCTGACATTCATAAATGCTACCTACAAGTTGGACAGCCACATTCGCCTGGTTCTTTGTGCTTGCCAGTGTTCTACCCAGAGCCAGGCGGCCCCTGGGCACAGTGGTACATATCGGATAACTGGCAAGGAAGAAGATAAAGGAGCAGAAAAACAGCTTAGACAGACAGAGGAGAAATGCCGCTGAGGCTTTCAAGGTTTGGGAGATGACTGTAGTACACTATGAATGATACCCAATTTTTGAAAAAGCAAACAACTGGCTGGTGTGCATGTTTGGAAGGAAGATTTGTTGATGATTATTCATGGTCAGTTTATATATTTTTCTTTTGACTTCTTTTTTAATCTGATGCGCATGACGGGTGATTTTAAGTGTCCTGGATATTCCCTCTGATGTAGGTCAGCTCACTAAAAGCTGCCGGTTCCTAACAGGCTCAGGTAGGCCTGGAGGAGGCCTCAGCTGAGCCTGGAGGTGGGAAGGGGCTGGCGGCAATAAGCATAGCACAGTCTGTGGAGCTTTCTCATCTTCCAGAAGGAGGGTCTTCCGCCAAGCCGTGTGGCTTCCACAGAACTGGGAGAGGGCCCAGGCTGGGAGCAGCTGTGTGCTCCGCTGGCCACTCCTGCTAGAGGAGGGAGCAGTGGCCCCTGAGTGGCCCTCGTTTCCCACCCCACCCACTCACTGCCTCCACCTCTGCTCTCAGGCCTCAGTTGCTTCAGGCGTCCAGCTCCCCCGCTGCCTCTGTGGTTGGCAAACACCTTTATCTAGATCAGGGTGGTAAGGTCCCCGCCCCAGGCAGAGACCCAATCCAGAACTCTGCTTTCATTTCAGTACATCCCCATGCCGGTTCTGTACGGAGTGTTCCTCTACATGGGTGTGGCCTCCCTGAATGGCATCCAGGTGAGGCTGTCCCCTCCCCAGCTGCTGTGACCCTCCATGAGCATTCCACGTGTAGTTGTAACCAAGAAAATGTTTGCTTTCCCAATTCAATAAAAGAACCATAGTAATGATGGTGCCATCATTTACTACGTGCCAGGCAAAGTAGCTCTACTAGGCACTTTACAGGTGTCTAATCTGTACAGTCAGGTTCCCAGTGCACCAGTGGGGAAGCTCAGGCTCAGAATTCAAAACCCAAATCAGGGCTGGGGATTTAGCTCAGCGGCAAAGGCGCTTTCCTGGCAAGCGCAAGGTCGTGAGTTCAGTTCCTGGTACCGGAGAAAAACCAAAAAAAAAAACCAACCCAAATCAAGCTCACTCCAAAGGGCATTTTGCCATACTTCCTCAGGCAACTCTGCAGAAGAAAATATTGTATTCTATATCTACCACAAAAATCCCAGGACTTCTTGGATAGTTTGTGTTCAGTTGCATTTTCTTGGAATATGGGCCGTGTTCATTTTGAGACCATCTCCAGGGCCTCTCCCCTCATCTGGGGCTAAGGACCCCTTCTCCCATATTATATGTCTGCCCTGCTATTACTCTCTCTCTTTTTCTCTGAGACCCCACCAAGGCACCCCTTCTAGTCCCAGGCCCCAGCAGGCCTGCCGCCCCCAGGGTCCTGGCTGCCTAGTTGAGACCCGCACTCTCCTCACCAGTTCTGGGAACGCTGCAAGCTCTTCCTGATGCCCGCCAAGCACCAGCCAGACCACGCCTTCCTGCGCCATGTACCCCTGCGCCGCATCCACCTCTTCACCCTGGTGCAGATCCTCTGCCTCGCTGTCCTCTGGATCCTCAAGTCCACTGTGGCCGCCATCATTTTCCCGGTCATGGTAAGGCAGGCATGGGCCTCCCCTCCTGTTCAGCAGGGTGGTGTGGACAGGTGTCTGCTGGGAGGCCCAGCAACCTGGCCTTATCTTCCATCCCCTCTGCCTTCTCCCCACTGATGACCTGGCTCTGTCCGGTTGAAGAAACAGACACAGACCAAGTTGTGAGGTCTGGCCAGATGCTGTGCGGTGGGAATGGACAGGAGGGCAGGGTAAAGAATTTCTGGGTGTCACATAGACCTGCAGGCATGACCCGCATGCTGAGCTCGGCAAAGCCGGCCAAACTCCTGGGCTGGAGAAGGGGATGTGAAGATGGGACTGGAGATTCCCTACTGCCAGCACTCACTTAGACCTCAGAAGGGGATGCATACTAAGTATAAATCTTCTCACCAGGCACAGTAGCTGAATTTGAAAAGATAAAGGGGATGAGGACTAGGCTCACAGACGAAGAACCTCAAAACCTAATGACAGTATGAAATTTGAGCTGGGGAGATGTGTATAAGAGTTCTTTGAACATTCTTAAAATTCTTATGGAAGCTTGAAGTTATTCCATAATTTTAAAAAGGGTATAAAAAGCCAAAAATGTGTTGCATTTGACCCCCTAAATAATCCTATGGGAGGGAAGCGGGCCCAGTCCATGTTAGAGGACCAGAGCATGGGGCCTAATGCCCCCTGATTACCTGCAGGCCTCGGTAAGGTCTTCACATGTGTGCTCTTGGAAGGGCCCTACTCAGTGGTTCTTGACTCTAGCTGCTTTTAAGAAGCAACACAGATCGATTAAATCAGAATCTCTTGGAAAAGCACAGGCTTTGGTATTTTGGGTAAGTCTGCAGGTGAATGTAAGTCTGCAGCCAGAGCTGAGAATCGGCACGCCTTGGAAAGGGAAGTGGATCCTCCCCAACAGGGTCCTCCTAGGCTTTAGAGAGGAGGAAGGGAAGGATAATAATAGTTAAATTTTGTATTTACTGAGCACTGTTCCAGTTGGCCTACACCAGCTCCTGGAGTACTGATGTTCACTCTCTCTTACGGATGAGAAGGATGAGGCTCAGAAAGATCAGTGAGCAACTCAGGTTACAACCAGGACAGTGCAGAGCATTGTCCCCATTCATTTTTTGAAAATAATGTTTCTAAGTGGAGGCAGGAGGATCATTGCAAATTTGAGCTCAAGCTGAACTACATAGCCAAAAAAGAAAGAAAGAATGAATGAATGAATAAATTGGGGTTCTGAGGAAAGAATTGGGGTTCTGAGGAACCGAGAGGGAGTGGGAGGTGAACAATGGCATGTGGGGACTTCAGAATGACCCTAAAGACACTGACCACAAGAGGACCTGCCACAGGAAAACCATGCTGAGGGAGAAAACTTTCTAACCCATACTTTTCTCTGGACTCCCACAAAACTTTAGCCTTCTCTGTCTTCCCTTCACAGATCCTGGGCCTCATCCTTGTTCGAAGGCTGCTGGACTTCGTCTTCTCCCAGCATGATCTGGCTTGGATCGACAACATCCTCCCAGAGAAGGAGAAAAAGGAGGCAGACAAAAAGAAGAAAAGGAAAGGGGCCCCTGAGGACAGTGATGAGGAGGTGGGAGAGGAAGTGAGGCTTGGGCAGAGCGGGAGATTGAGAGAGCTCCCCTCCTCTTGTACCTGGGCCAGGGAGGAGTGGCTTCTCAGGGGTCCTGCAGCAACGTGTGAACCCCGTCCAGGATGAGCTGAGGCTTCTGCTGGTCTTGGTCTGAGCTGCTCGGAGCTCACGTGCTCCTGACGCTCTTCATGGTGGGCCTCCCTGTCCAGGAAACAGTTGATTGGCCAAGCCCACTCTCTCATTTGTGTGGGTTCTTGGGGCCATTTTCAACAGCAGCACTGGTCCCTGAAGGAATGGGACAGGAGATGGCTCCAACATGAAAGCAGATATAGAGAATACTTCCAAATAAGGAGCAGGCCTGGGGGAAGTGGTGTGACGGGGACTTACAGATAGCCTGGGCTGCGGGACAGGCAGGAAGGGCTGGGTGCAAACTTTGCTGGGCACTGTCTGGAGGGTAGTGTGGATGGAAGTGGGAAGAGGCAAGTGGTCTCACGGCAGGGAGAATGGCTTTATTTCCCAGAAACTGGGACTGCCTGGTTGCGCCATCTACCCCTTTTTTCTCCTATGCTTCTTTAGCATCCCACCCCGAAAACAGTTAGGGAATCAACAGACAAGGAGCCAGTCCAAAAGTTATAGTATATCTCAGAATGTTAGGCAGAAAGGCCGTCTGGTTCAAGTGTTTATAAGAAATGAGGACACGGATGGTATTAAGAAAAACTTCCTTGACCTTGACTCTGATTTCTCCCTGAGCTGCCACGCCGTCTCCTAACGCTGTGCTAGGCTCCCACTTTCCCAGTTTGACCCAGACTTACAACCCTTCTCTACTTTGTCTTGTTCTCCTAGCAGTCTTGCCCTTTGCAAATGAAAGCTGCTCACAGACTCCCAGGGTTGGGACCCTTGCTGACTGGTTGGTGGTGATGAAGCTATCCTCCGATGGTAGTGATTGGCCACAATATCCCCCTGGTCTTTAATTGCTGTCCTTTTCCTGGAAGGAGAGAGTACTATAATTCATTCATATATATTTTTTGTAGATAATTTACAAAGGCAGACTCTAAAACCGTAGACAGAGTCCAAATATTTCTGAAGATAAATACTTCTTTTTCACTGGTTCATTTGAATGGCTCCCATGTGCCTGGAACTATTTTGATGTTGAGAAAGAAATATCTCTTAGATTATGTGATAAATTCAATAAGAATGGGATTCTGTTTATGCAAATTCATTTTACATGTCTTCATAGCCACACAGCTATTATGTGGTTCATTCCCAAACCACTGGTGACGTGACAGATGAATCTGAGGAGTGACATTCCTAGAGGAGTTCTTTCCTATCTAGAACTTGGGTTAACTATGCCTGTTTCCTCTCAGTGGGCCCCAGAATGTTTGCAGGAACCAACCCCCCAGTTTAGCCTGGAGGTGAAGAAGACGGTGGTTTGCACACTGTGGATATATGAATTTTCTAACTTGGCAAGAAAGCCAAAGTGCTTGCCTTGGTGTGTTCATCAGCTTTTCCCACTGTTTTTCTCCAGCCCCAGTTCCCTCCTCCCTCAGTTATAAAGATCCCCATGGAAAATGTCCCATCAGATCCCCAAAATGGTATCCACTGCATTGCCAGTAAGTAAAGCACATGGTGTCTCTCCCTTCCTCCTCAGTATTACTAATCCTCCCTCTGTAACTCAGGGAGATCCTGTGCTAGACAGAGATCAAAGAGAACTGGGCCATGAGGGTTGGGGCTCCATCCAGATGGAAACCCCAAAGCAACACCCTATAGATTCTTCTCACCAACCTTCACTTTAATTTAGCCCCAACCCCTCATTCCTGCCCTTGCTCTGGTGCCCGTGGCACCCCCTGGCCCTTTGCCCCATAGTTCAGGCTATATTGGTCCAAACATGTCCCCCAGTCACTCATGTTTTCCAGGGGTTGTCGAAATGATTGTGAACTCAGATCAGAGCCAAGCTTTCCCCCTAGAGAAATGGGCATCTGGATGACAAGTTGGAACTGAAGGTCCTGGTCTGGTCTGTGTGACTCACAAGCCCTCTGCATATGTGGAAAGGGAGCTGCCTGGAGGAGTCAGGCATTGCTTACGACTCGTGAGAGTCTGTGGCTGCTCTAATACCTCCCAGCTTGTGGATGAGCCTGTCACCAGCACCACAGTCTGTCCTGGGAATCTTCAAAAAAAAAATTCCAGCACAAGTCCAGACCCGGATGTTACTGCAACAGGACTTTCTATTGCCCTCAAAGACAGAGATTAGAGATGGGTCACCAGGAGATCCCACCAGTACCATCAAGCGCCCCTGAGGACTTCCTGTCACCACCCTCTATCCTAGAGCATCATGATCTTTTCAAGTTCCTCCTTCTCGTGCCCAACTCCCTCTAGTCTCTTCCTTCATTCTTTCATTCCCTGCCTCCTCGTACCTCGCTCACTCCCAACCCAGCCAAGCGCCCTTTGTGTCAAGCTTTGAGCCAGAAGCCACTCTGCTCTGAAGGCCCCAGCATTCCTTCCTCTTAGTGTTGCTAAAGGGTTAGAGAATAGAACAGAAAAGACAAGAGATGGTGGGGGAGATACTGGAGAACTAGGATGATCTCCAGGATACTACTCAGACCTGTTTCAGCTCTGATATTTTAATTTTCCCACCAGGAAAAAGATCTTCCAGTTGGAGTTACTCATTCTGATGCAGCTTTCAGTGGCTCAGAACTGGATCGAAGGTAAAGGCTGTTAGGTGGACTTGTTGGATTTTACATTCGTGACTAAGCAATGACCAGCACTGGCATTTCCAGGCTAGCTGATATCTCAGTAGAAAGCCTTCTTACCCCACCACTGGGAGACCAAGGCTGGCCAGTCTGATTAGTAGAGCCGAGTGACAAATAAGTCTCCTCCTCACTGACATCAACAATGTAGTTACCACACACAAAGGCATTCAACGTTAGAAAAGGAAATTATTGCAAAATATTACAAAGAACGTTGAAAGCAACTATTTAAAAGAGAAAACAACATAGAAGAAAACCACATAACTTAAGTATATATTGGTGAAAGCCAGGAAAAATGCATACTGAGGATCAACACACCAAGTACTCTAATACTTCATGGAATACAATCACCATAGAGTTAATTATCAATGGCCAGAAAGGTTATTAAGGAAAACTGACTAAAAACCAAAGATTATGTGGGGTAAGAAGGATTCAGGTCCCAGGTGCCAGGAGCCTTCAGGCCAATAATGTGACGTACTGATGTTCTTGATGAGAAGCCACCCATGAAAAAAAATGGTACTAGTTGAGTACACAAAGGGACTCAAAAGTTAGGAATTCAGAAGTAAGAAATTCCTGGTCTCTTATCACTGCGGAAGCTGGTGGGGGCAGTCCCACACCTCACTGTGTGCCCTAGAATAAACAGAAGTCACTTGGTCCTAGATCCAAATTCATAGGAGCACAGGCTACCCCGAGACTAGTGACATAAATCTTCAGACTTAGATGGCATTCACCCAAGAGTTTTTCAGGTTCTCCTGAATTTATGATCTCCTGCTGTTACAATGCCAGAGTGAGTAAACTTATCACCAGTTGAACCCTCCCTGAGCTGCAGGCCCAAGGATACCCAAGCCTAGAAGTGTCACAAGTTGAATTATGTTCCTTCTCCTCCCACATCTCCAGCCAGGGTTCTTATGGCCTTAATGCCGCTGATCTTTATATAAATACCCATTAGGAGAAAAATACTTTGTCTATTTAATTTATTTTTATTTAAAAAATAACCTACATTATATCAGATCTCTCATGGCCCTAGTTTCAGGCAGTGGAGAGAGAATTTGGACCAGAACACAGCATTTCCAAAATCCTGTTAACTTACACACAGCCCTAGGACAAGATCAGAAATGCAGGAAATTTGGTAACTAGAAATGATACTACCCAACTACATGGATATTTTACCAAATCTATGAAAATACTAGATAGAAGTAACGATCACTAAGTAGCAGAATTTCGCCTCAGTGAACAAAATGCCTCAGCAACATGATCTAGTTTAACAAAGATTATGCATCCAGGACCTTCCAGACCTGAGCTTGATCCCTGGAGATGTAGAAGGACATGTAAACACAGACACGGAGCGCTGGGTACAAGAACAATAACAGGCACACAGTAGAGAAAGGTCAGTGATGTAAGGGAGGGAGTCACCGTCTCCGGAGAATCTAGAACAGATCAGTAGGATCCTGCCAGATGGACAGAATGGGCAGAGCTAAGGAGGAAAGCATATTTTAGATAGGGAGGACAGCCCTGAAACGCAAATACAGGGGTGGATGGGCATCAACCGAGGGGTGTAGGCAGGAATTCAAGCAGAGAAGTCCTCCTTGCTATGCTAAGGAGCTTGGGTTCCGTCCTTTGAACAACAACCTCATTTGTGATTTAGCAAGTTGCTTTGGCAGTGATTCAAAAATAGGCTGAGACACAGCCAGACCAGTTCAATGACTGGCCAAAGCCCGTCTGATCAGACACTTTCTTCCTGTGACGCATTAAGAGTTCATAAGCAAGGCAGAACTACTTGCAATAGAGTCCTGCTCTGGGCATTGTGGTTAAAACACTGCAAAAACTAATCATTCTTCTGTCCCACTCTTCTCTTGTTCAGCATCACCCTGCACTTCAAAATCTCCTGTCCAGCCTCACCTGCTTTCAACTACTCACGGAACCCCATCTTCATGGTGCCACAGGTGAAGATAGAGATGGAGTCTGACTACGACTTCACAGATGTGGATGAGTACGCCAGAGAGGCCGACGGGGAGACCACCCTCTAGGATGACGCGGCTTCCCCCAGACTGGGGACAGGGTGAGGCCTGATACGGTCAGTTTGAGTCTGGCTCACCCTTAACTTCTCCGTGCCTGTGTCCTTACTTACCAAATGGGGCAGGTCCTTTTGGCTAATAGAAAACTGGAGACCTTTCAGTGAAAAGTGTTCCTTAGATGCAAAGCTCTCCCCTTCCCTTTGTAGTTATTATAAAATACAGAAAGCTAAATGTCATACCTTATTTTCAAATGCAGTCCAGCTAGAAATTACATTTCTTTTGAAATGCAAAAGCGTGTATTTGCCAAAATCTTAACTAACATACATGGGCAATAGTTAATTTATACTTAAAACAAATATCATTTAAAATTTTTAAATACAAGTCAAGATGGTTTGAGAGAACTCAAAACACTCCCACAGCCAGGTGTGGTGGCACACACCTGCAGTCCCAGCACTTGGGGTGTTGAGGCCAGGCTGAGCTGTATAATGACACTCTGTCTCAAAAACACAAAACCAAACTCATATCAATAGACCAATGTTGAAATATGTTTTGCAAATTTGCATATTAAGAAAGGCTGAGAAGGTTCCATCTCTTCTTTTCACCTCATTCTGCTAAGTCTGAACCATCTACATTATGGGGCCTTCACTAGAAATGGGACTGAAGTTATTCCAGAATGAAAAGCTAGTCCTAAAAGTCTGAGGGAATGTTTTGAAAATAAAATCATCCTTATTAAAGTCAAATCTCAATCTACATGTTAGATAAACAAAATGACCCTTTCAATTTATATCAGATTTTTCACACCTGGAATCAAATTTCTCCTTGCATTTGGGTAGGTCCTTCCTGCAGGTTTCCAGTGACTGATACCCAAAGTTAAACCTCCATTCACATGAACATGACACGTTAGGCAGCTGACATTGTAGAAGATTGTAACTTTGCAATGTTAATCACAGTAGTACTTTAAAGTAATGATTGGAAGCAATCTGGGTAGATTCAAACCAGCTATTCATGAAGCAAACCCTCTCCCCATGAAAGATTAGACATTATTTTCAATCCACATTTAGTTAGACCAAACTATGTTTATGTAACACCTGTTATTGCCCAATAGCCACAAAACATCTAATATTTCCTTTCTCTGAAACTGTGGATTTGAATCTTGAGTAAATCACATTGCTTAGTCACTATATTTACTCAAGATAATGATACACTGTTTCATTTTTTAAAAAAAAGACAAATGACACTAGATCATTAATACCTCGGATATAAGAACAGGTAATTGCCTCTGTAATCTTTAGAGCCTAACAGTACCTGGTCCATAAAACGTTCTCAAGAGTTCATGAAATTTAATCTCAGAGCTCTGTTCCAAGGGTTATTGCCAAGAGGTAAAGCTCTAAGCCTCTGTCACTCCCAATAGCAGAATCACTTCATGTTCACTAATCCAAAACTTCTCAAATTTAAGTATACATTCTTTATCTTCCCCTGCACTAATGTAGGGAAAGCTAACAATCTCCCCTGAACATTTGTTTTAAAGCCTGGCTGACTTGGAATAGGACTTTGTCCAGATTGTAGAAATGTTATGTGGATTCAGGAGTAAATGTGCTTGGGTTAATTAGACTGGAAAACTGCAATGTTAGTTTTTTGTTGTTGTAAATTGATCTGTGTAATTTTTAACTGATATATCATTTATATTTTGTATATACACAAGCATTTTAATTTCAGTGGCTGTTACCAGGGTGACATATTGTTACTTCTCCATGCAGTAAGCCAGTAATTTTTTCCATGTTTAATGTAACTATAATTCAATAAAAATTAATTGTCCACTCATCTTTTTGTTTCATAACGTAGGTTAGGTGAGCCGGTGTGGCATATAGACATGAGCTGTACCTCATAAAAACGTCCAGCAGACTTGACTTCCCGAAGAGTAAAGCCAGCTGGCAGAGGTACAAGGAAGGAACAGGTCAACCTCCCGATGGTTTTTGTTTGTTTGTTTCTGCCTCAAGCTGCCAAGAGCAGAAGCTATTTCTTTCTGTACGAAGCCCAGATACACAGCTTTGGTTGAGAATACATAAGGACCTATCCCAGCCTCAAGATATGCACAAGAAACACCTTCCAACCCGTCAGAGCAAACTCATAAACACTCGTGAGCATATATACACACAGGAGAGATATACAAAGCATTACTGAAAAAAATGTTTAAATTTTTAAAAATTTATTACGTAAAAGACACACCGCCATTAACTCCCCTCAAAAATACCCCCCTTACACACACACACACACACCAAACACAGATATCCCATCATTCTTGCTACTTTCTGAAGCAGTTCTGGAAGTCCTCTTTTTGTTGTACTGCTGTGGCTGCCTGGATGTGCTGATAAGAGTCAAAATGTTTCCATTTATGGTCATTTTGACTTTAAGAGCCAGAAGTTGCATGGTGCCAGATCCAGTGAATAAGGCGAATGAGGACACATCATCATGTTTTTACAGGCCTGCCTTTCTGTTGGCTATGGCAGCAGCATTCACCATATTTTGACTACACTTTATAAAGACACACAGAAAAGTCCTTCCAGAACTGCTTCAGAAAGTGACAGGAACAATGGGAAAAGTGCATTCAAAATGGGGGGAGGTACTGGGGGACAGTTAATGCCAATGTGTCTTTCACTGTAATACATTTTAATGAACTTCCTATATTTTGATCACATCTTGCATATATTGATTGTAGTATATGTGTTGAGAACTTGGCAAGGGGAAAATCCTTTGTGGATACCTTGCAGCAATTTGTAAATTGAATGCATGGTTTAAAAAATACTCAGAATCACTTAAAGAAATCTTAAGAGATTAAGTTCCTAGCTTGGCACTTCGTATTGGGATACGAAAGGACCAGCCTGGTTTCACCATAGCTCTGTAAACCAATGTGTTTAAGGTTATAGGTTGGGTGTTACCAAATGTCTAATAATAACTAGATTATACCCAACAAGGAAAAATTAGGTGATAAGAAAGATAACAGGAAGACACAGCATTTCAGAAACTCATTTCACACCAGACAGATATGTTTTATTTAAAAAACAAAACCAAAAAACAACCCTTTATCAGAAAGTCTAATTAAATTCAATATTAACTCACGCTCTTAAAAATCTTTCAGGAAAGCCAACAGGGTACACGAAAAGAAAAAAGCAGGCAGCTGCTGACAATTCTTTGGTGGAAAAATAAGTTGCACACTTATTATACAAGCTGCCCTAATGATTATCAAGCCCAAGTTTTGTTTTTCAAAAATAGGTTTCCAGGTATGCCGAAGAAACCACACAGACACCCCTAACAATACAAAAACTAAACAATGAAGTTTAAGGATGTAGCAAAAGCCAAATACGACAATACACACAAATAATTTACAAAACAAGCCTTTCAATCCTAGAAAACTAAAATGGGGAGAACTCACTGAAAGGTAACATACACAAAATGGGAGCAGCAGCAAATGGAACGACCCTGAACATTTCCCCAATGACTAAGCCACAAAAAGACAACCAGTAACATGTAGTTTTTCCTTTTTCCTCAGCCAATTCCGTTCTTTTCAGATAAACTTGGTTACCAATCAGTATGTACAGAAGTTAGTTTTCTTCCTCTACGTAATTACCACCATTTCTTCCTTTTCACCTTTTTCCTGGTTTTCTCTAGCAACATTTTTCCTTTGGTTTGACCAGCTGATCTCATAAGGCTCAGAACCTAAAATGAGTATCAACTCTTATTGGAATAGCACTTGGGAAATGCAATTCTAGAAAAGGCAAATTTTTAACTTAAGTGGCTTGATGAAGTTATGCATCCATTCTCAATGTGACAGTGTCTCCCATGTTAATCAGTAAGTTAATGGCTTCTCTCTGCTGGATCACATGACCCAGCATGAGCCCGGAGTGCTCCTGGTGAATCCCGAAAAGCCATGTGCACACACAACCACCCACTTAAGCGTTCAATAAATACGAAGCATATTTAAAACCATTTCAGCAGAATAAATAAAAGTCTTGCATTTCTATTGGCCTGCTTTGCTTCCTGGCTGGCTTGAAGTACTGTTCATGGCACGGCAGACAGACAGTTAATTGGTGGCTACTCCAAGCTCTTTAGACTTCAGCACTTCCCGCTCTTCGGACCTCAGCACTTTTTTTGCAGCAATAACTGTATTCTTCATTAGCATGGCCACTGTCATGGGACCGACGCCCCCAGGGACTGGAGTGATGTAACTGGCTTTCTTCTTGACTTCTGCATAGAAACAAGATAGTCTGCTTCAGTTATGGCAAAGGACATGCACATATATGTACTTTAGCGTGTTAAAAAAGAACCATGCAAAGAAAAAGCAATAAATGAGCATCTTTGTTAACCTCAAACTCAATTAAAAAACACATCTATATAACTCGAGAGTAAAAGTTTTTGAACACACTAATAAAATACACCTATAATATGCAGTTGTTTAATATATATCTAATAACCTAACAGTTTACCAGCCATAATTTCCTTACATAGGAGGTATAACACTAATATAGTAAGCATTATCTCTATACACACATATTTAAAATATTGTAAGTATAGTTTGCCCAAAGCACCAAGCAAAGTAATTTCTAGAAAGGAAAACTAACATTTTTATTTAACCTGATTTTTTTGGGGGGGTGGGTGGTATCGGTAATCAAACTCAGGACCTCGCACTTGCCAGGCAGGCACTGTGCCACTGAGCTATATCCCTTGCCCTTAGCCTGATCCTAAGAGGAAAATACTTGGATAGCTAGATTTGGGTCTGAGTGCTTTAAGAGACAGAAAGCTAGATGTATGATTATCAGTGCAAAATTTAGATAAATATCTTACTGAAAGGAGATCTGTCCTAAATGTCTGCTCAACATAGTATTTACTAATATATATTTTTAAACAATTACACCATATACCTTCAAAATCCACATCTCCAACCAACTTGGGCTTAGACGTGATAGGATCTTGAATTCTGTTTATTCCTACATCGATGACTGCTGCTCCCTCCTTGATCATATCTGCTGTGATCAGATTCGGAATACCTGGCAATGGAGACAGGAATGACCAATTTAGTACCAAAAAGAAGCTTCCAGCTGCATGTGGTGACATGCTTATAATCCCAGCACTCTGTGAAGCGGAGGCAGGACAGCAAGGTAAAGCTGACCTGAGTAATTTAGCAAGACTCTGTCTCGAAAACAAAAGCAAAGGCTGGGGATGTAGCTCAGGGTGAAATCCCCAGGTTCAATCTCTAGTACAAAAAAAAAGCCAGGTATGGTGATGCATGCCTGTAATCCTAGCACTCAGGAGGCTGAGACAGGAGAATCATGGTGAGTTGGAGGCCAGCCTGGGCTATACTGAATTCAAGATCAGCCTAAGCCTACCTCAAAAATACAAAACAAAATATCCACTGGTCAGATTGTTGTCTTTCAATTTCCTGAAATAACTAATTACCATGTTTTATAAAAACCTATATAGGTGAAAGTGATGGCACATGCCTGTAATCCCAGCAAACTGGAAGGGTGAGGCAGGAGGATCTCAAGCTTGAGCCCACCCTTGGCAATTTAGTAATTTAAAGATAGCCTGATTTAAAAGATTAAACAAGGGTTGGGGATGTAGCTCAGTACCAAGGCTCTGGGTTTAATCCCCAGTACTAAAAAACAAAACAAAACAAAACAAAAAAAACCTATGAAAAATATTAACCAAGAAACCATTTAAATTTCATGTGGCAAATGGAAGTATTTTGAGGTGTTAGGAATAACCTGCACCTATGTAGTCTATAACGGAATGTCACAAGCAGTATTCCCACACGTTTATGCGCATTACAGATAGCTCAAAGAATTGTTACTAGGGGCGAAATGAACGGAATGGCACTGAAGAGGTACAAGCTCACTCTTCTGAACTGAAGTCTTTCCACTCCCCTCCCTGAGTTCTTACCTGCGGCAGATACTACAATATCTGCAAGAATTGTGTGCTTCTTCAGTTGTTCTTTAGGAGTGTAGCGATGTGATATTGTAACAGTGGCATCGCCTATGCAGAAAGAAATAAATACATGTTTTAGTTCTGAATCAAAGCAAATAACTTAAATGGAATCACATCCCCAACCCTTGTTTAAGCTGGGATTAGTTCTCAACTATTATAGAAACCCAACATCTCTGAAAAATAATTGATTTACTGCTCATGCCATATTTTCTGGACAGTTAACTGTCATTCATTTTTTAAGTTAATATTCAAGATAGCTTTTACCCATTGCGTCTGCCTGCATCCTTTGAAGTTATATATAATTAAATTTATTTCTTATCATATTCCTCTTCCTATTTCATAGCCTGCCAAGAATTTTAACTTTTTTAATCCCAACGCTCGGGAAGCTAAGGCAGGAGGATTGCTGTAAGTTCAAGGCCGGCCTGAGCAACACAGTGATTGTAAGGCCGGTCTGAACTACACAGCAAGACCATTCTCAAAAAAAAATTTTATACCTTTTTAAAGCTAAGTATCACTAGAAACACTCATTTTCTTCAAGTGTGCCACAAGATACCTGAAAATAGTTTTGCTCTTCTGATATAACCATATAAAGGCATTATTAAAATAATTATGTGGTATGTGCATGTACCAACTCTCCATGATGAATGTAATCATTTTGTCCTGCATGCATGTCCTAGTAAAAATAAAAATTTAAAAAACGATATGTAATAAGTGATTTATAAGACTTTTTCGGGGCTGGGGATTTAACTCAGCGGCAAAGCGCCTGCCAGGCAAGCGCAAGGTCGTGAGTTCGGTTCCCGGTACCGGAAGAAAAGACAAAAAAAAAAAAAAAAGACTTTTTCTTAGGCAGATCACAGTAACAGAAAGTGGCATGTTAACTGCAGCATCAAGTCAACCCTTTACAGCAGCCTCCATCTTTTTCCACCAAATGACACAGAACAGGATACTCACTTCAAATAAGAACTGCTTCTTAGCCTCAATTCATGCTTTACTCAAAACTCAAATTTATTTCTGAGGCTATTTCTATAGCAAATGAACAGTAAATGCTTTGATGATGAGTACAGCTGCTGTACAAAGGTTACTCTCTGAGTAACTTAAATGGAATCACAACCAATAAACATATCGCAAAGTCACCGTGATACACTTCCTCCACACGGGGAGAAGACATTGTTCTGAAAGCAGTTTCCTTACCTCCAGGACGTTCGTGCGCCCCGTCTGTGTGCAGTAACATTGCAATGGGCATTCCAACATTTTTTGACCTTCCAGCCACCACCACATTCTTTCCTAGGGTGGGAATGCCTATGGAAAAAACAAACAAACAAGCAAAATATATATATGTACACACACACACACACACACACACACACACACACACACACGAGCACATGCACGTTTGCATTTTAAAAAGCAGTGTCACTCTTATAATGAATGCTAAAAGAAGTCAGATGACCTCAGTGGGGTGGGGTTCCACTTTTCAGTACTGTAGCAATTTTTACAACTTGTGAACATAGATTGAATATTCCTTACTTGAAATATTTGGGACCAGAAGTGTTTCAGATTTCAGACAGTTTCAGATTTGGGGATATGTGTATAGACTTTACCAGTAAAGCATCCCTAATCCAAACATCAACAAGGCTCAAAGCTCCTCAGGGATGCTCGACTTGTACTGCCTTTGTAATAATGAACACAGACACAGTTCTGGGCTATACCTACCAGTTCGCTTAATTATTTCCCATACACCCCATGGGGTAGCTGGCAACATGGAATACTGGTCCAAACACATTCGCCCCACATTAATTACATGAAAGCCATCAACGTCCTTGTCTGGAGAAACAGCATTGCAGATCCTCCTCTCATCAATATGCTCTGAAAAAGAAATTAGAGCAGTGGCCTTAATCACTGTTAGTTACCCAGTTAGAGGCACATGACTCCAGCTCATGTGGTTTGTGATGCAAATGTACTCCCCTTCCAGACTTGCCTCCCTGATGTACTTCTTCATCTGCACAGAATGAACTCACATTAAGCAAAGCCCAATGCCAATATCAAAGCCAATGTCCTCTTCTTCCACAGCTGCTCTCCACTGTCCTTTGTATCCAGATCTCAATATCAAACTAGGGGTCAACAGGTATTCTGAGTAAGCCTGTCCCATTTCTAACAAAATATTCAAGCTTTTGAGTTTGCCTTGCCTTTCAGCAAACCCTGCTAAAGGAAGGGTCAGGTGTAGAAAGTAGCCAGGTCCCCCCACTGCTCAGGAATCAGTGTAACTGGTGAAGACCAACACTCACCTGGGAGAGGCAGCTGAACAAGGAGGCCATCTACATTTTCATCATTATTGAGCTTATTGATCAAATTCAACAGCTCTTCCTCTGAAATTGAAGCTGGTTTCACAATGGTCTCGCTGTTGATTCCTATTATAAAAAAATATGGAGGTACTGAATGAACACTGCTGCAGATTGTAATCACTGTCCCCACTCTGGTAGCTGAAAACCTGACCTGCCTACAAGGAACCTGAAAAACTAACTTCACAAATAAAATATAGGAGACAAGCTCAACACTTTCCATTCATTATTCTACATAGTCCTTATTTTTTTTTTTTTTTTTGGTTTTTCTCCGGTACCAGGAACTGAACTCACGACCTTGCGCTTGCCAGGCAGGCGCTTTTTGCCGCTGAGCTAAATCCCCAGCCCCCTCTACATAGTCCTTATTAACCTTGTTTTACAAACGAGGAAAGTAAGGCTCAGACAGATTACAAAGCCAGTCGGTGACACAATCTTTCTCGTTCCAAAGTTCCTGTTCTTTCCACTGCATCACACTAACTCTCAATGTTTTTTTTTTTTAAAAAACGGTCATCATTTCTATGTTCCAGAGGTTTCTAGAGGTTTTCAGCTCCAAGGACAGGAGGCGCCAGTTCTCAGTGATCAAGAATAGAATAAACCAAGTGCTCAGGGGCAAGGAACTCTGAGCAGCCACAGCAGAAGCGAGGTGCACTGGTGCCCAGACCACTGAGCCACACAAGTGGGCAGGGGCACATCTAGACTGCAGTCACATGACACTTTGCAACCAGACCTACGAACCTCCCCTCACCCACACCCGACCAAACCACTTCTAACTGTATGTATGATTAGCTTTGGAAACAATCAGTGATGAAATCGAAAGTGATTTCCCAGAAGTCAGTCATTTCCTTCCAATCTATGACCGTTTAACCACATCACTGAGGTCCCCTAACATCCTAGCTCAATCTTCTGCCCAGCCCTTTACTGCTTTACAATGCAAACACCCAAGTCAGAGACTCTCAGTATTACTCAAGGAAAGCCCATGTGTTCAAGGTCAGCTGTGAAATGTTAAGGCTCAGAACAGAATTTAGCTTATATTCCAGATGACACCCAGGAAGCCATCCAGCGTCTTCCTCCCCTATTCTGTAAGCTTCCCCAGCAGACAGGCTCTAATGTCCTCATGACAGAGACTTGGACACAGTTCAGTCACATTAGCCCTCTCTGCTAGAGTTTTCTAATCAGAAAAATAAGTCAGAAATTACAGTGGAGTTGGCGTCAGGCTAACCTCAAGTGAACAGTGGTGGGGGGCCGATGGTGACGCTTACCCACATCTGCAGCCGCCCTGGTTTTGTTGAGAACATACGAGTGACTTGCAGGATTCTCGCCAACCAGTACCACGCTTAGGTGTGGCCGCTTGTTGCCTGCGGCCACCCACTCTTCCACCTCCTGCCGCACCTCCTGTTTGATCTGCTGGGCCAGTTTCCTTCCAGAAATGACTACAGCTTCATTTCTGCAGAAGGCAACAGTCACAAAACCAAATAGCTTGGATTTCTGTAAAAAATAAAGCTCAAACTACAGAGTTGTTATTAAACACCAAAAAATTTAAAGTTTAGATAAAAATACATAGTGCCTAATCTGAGGGGCAACTCAGGGACAGATTGATTGACAGATTGATTTTCAGTAACGGGGATTGAACCAGGGCCTTTGCACTGAGATATAGCCCTGGCCCTTTTATCTATGTATTTATTTGTTTATTTATGTATGTATTTATTTAGAGACAGGATCTCGCTAAGTCACTGATTTGCCCAAGCTAGGTTTGAACTTTCGATCCTCCTGCCTCAGGTCCCATAGTGCTGGAATTAGAGGTGTGTACCACGTCTGCCCTGGGGGTGTTATATTAGTCTAGGGTCTTAGTGGTATGTTGGTGCCTTCTGATCGTTGCCAAAGGTTTTCCATGTTTCAATCTACATTTCTTTGACCCTTTAACATTATGGGGTTTAAAGTGTTTTCTGAAAACTTACGTGCCACTTGTAGTTTGTGTTTTACCCAGTCATGTTGCAAATTGTTTCCCCGTTAGTCCACTGGTTTTTTATTTTCATGGTGCTTTAAATACAGTTGTCCTCACTTTCTATGGGGCATGAGTTGCAGAATCCCCTCCTCACCTACAGATGCTCAGACCCCCTCATATAAGATGTAGTAGTGCATATAAGATGCACAGCTCCTCCATACTTTAAATCATCTCCAAATTACTTATAATACCTAATATAATACAAATCCAGGTAAATACCTGTTAAGCAGTGTTATGAAAAAAATGACAAGGAAAAATAAGTCTGCATGTTCAGTATAGATGGAATTTCCCCTTAATTTCCATCTACAGTTGGTTATAAATCTGACTACATATAAGTTATGTCATGTAGTTAGAGCAATGAATACTACGTTTTTAGGTCAAACCTAAAAATGCCTACTGCTGCGAACAGCCCTTGTGAGGAAGACTATCCTGGTAAGAGGGGAGGGTCCTCCTCCCAGGTGGCAGTGCTCTCTACCCCAGGACCCCACAGTCCACCCATAGTTCACAGACCAACAGCCTGCACCTGTGCCAAGGACAATTCCCCAGCTGGCCAGGGGTCCAGCTAGTGCAAAAGCTTAGCCCCTCAGGGGCCATGGAGGTAAATGGACTGGTAAGAGATCCTCCTGGGGGTGCTTCAAGCTGGAGCCACAGAGGATCTGTTGATGAGAGCAGCAGAGGAAAGAACCAGGAAGAAACAGAGATGGGAGAACAGCAGTCACATAGAGAGATGATTAGGGCAAAGGGTCAGAGGACTGCTGTTGGGAGTGGGGCAGCAAAAAAACCCAGGATCTAGGAACCTCCAGTTCCCACAACTCTGTCCCTGGCTTTGCAAAACTGTCTCCTTCCAAAGAGAACTGGTTAAGAAGCAGTTTCTGGGGCTTATGGAGACAAAAATGTGAAGATTACTAGTTCTTGTTTCCATACATGTCCTTGCAGCAAAGTGTCATTATAGAAAAAAATCTGCCCTCAGACAAAAAGTCGTGTAAAAACTTATTTTTCCCTTTAGGCCTCTGTCTTATGAGCACTGCTCCAACTTCAAAACCAATGGAATGTCCATTTCCCTTAGAGCACAGGTTCAGTTCTCAGAGACCACATCAGTACTAGACACTGCCTATGATTGCACAAGATTAATTCTCAACATCATCTCTACTTAAAATGGAATTTCAAAGTTTTAACCTTTAAGTTTTCAGTGCCTGCTTTTTCTTCCACTATGATCAAAATACTACTTTAAACCAAGTCTCAATGCCTTAAACATCATCAAAAAATCTGTATCTATGGGGCTGGGGATTTAGCTCAGCCTGCCCGGCAAGCGCAAGGTTGTGAGTTTGAATCCCAGTACTGGAGAAAAACAAAAACCAAAAAACAAAACAAAAAAAATCTGCACTTAAAGTTTATATTAATCTATAATGTACCTTGTGAGATATTAAGATCTTCTGATTTTTAGCAAACTACTTTTATGCACATTTTATATAGTGATACTATCAAGGCACAAAATATATACTAGCATTTAATGTACACTTAAGGTCCACTACAGAAATGAAAATGTCAATATTTACAAATCCATTTTGCAACTAGCATTGAAGAGGACTTCATTAAAAGAGTTTTGCTGACTCACAAACACCCGTGGTAATATTCCTGATCTCTATTAGTACCTGGAGTAGCCACCTTCGACCAAAATACATTCCCAACTCCAGAATACTACAGGGTAAAAGACTGCTTAAACAAAGGCTTAAGAAAGTCATTTGTACTGAATAAAGTAACGATATAAAGTGCCAGGTAAACATGCTCCATAAAGTTAATTTCTCATTCTTCTCTTGGTTATTTATACATATATGCTTAATATATAATGGATATACTTACATACAATCATAAGTAATCAACACACACTCAGTGAGAACTTAGCTTGCACTTCATTAAAAAGTTTCTTTTGAAAGCAGTAAACTCAGAGAAAACGGTAGCAGCCCACTTGGATTAAAATTTATAATACTAAAGTCGAGAACACAGGGTTCTGAGAGAAGTCAGTGTTCCAAGTTCCAATCTTTGCTTCCAAAGGCAGGTTCTGGATGTTATGCCAATTTGCTTTTTAAAAAGTCAAAGAGTAACACAAGCTAAAAACAGAATTACAATGTAATGAAGATTTTTCATGATATAACTGGATTTTATCCCTCCTCTGCTTCCCACAACTTTACCGAAGTTGAAACCCACTAACTTCCTATCATCTCTTTTGCCAAATAGCAAATAAAGTCAGTGCTACCCCAAAATAAATAGGGAACTGGGAAACTCAGCTCAGTCCCATGGGAAATCCAAAAATTATAACTCTAAGACTCATTTAGGAATTTAGATGCTTTTATAGATGTATTTAGAAAACTTTCCACTAAAATAATAAATCAACAGACTAAAAAGAAGTCAAGAGGTCTGTTCCAGTAAAATTTGAAACTAAACTCCAAGTCAGCAGAACTTCAAATTTCTCTAAACCCAAAAGTTTAGTAATTTTCCATTAAAAACTAACATCAGGGCATTTTACACCTCACAATCAACTTGTTTTGGGAAGAGCTGTGTTATCTACTAATTAATTTAACCAGTAATGGGTGAAAAAAGACCCAAAGGAGAATGGAACTAACATCTATTAAACAGTAGGTCTTTTACCAAGACTTTTACATACAGTACTCTCCCTTACTTTGGGCTACTATAATAACTCTGCTATACAGAAGAGGAAACTAAAGACGACAGAAATAAGAACGTAAGCATCTGCCTCCAAAGTCCATTTCCCCCTATTCGCCTGTCTCCTAGGCTACAGCAACTATAAGGCTTGTGTTCCTGAAACCCTGCAACAGCAAGGCAGGGGCACTGTAAATACAGCACCACGCGCTCAGCACAGACAATGTGGATTACCTTCAGAGACGTGGAGTCTACCTGTACGTTCAGAAAGATAAGTGAAAGAACATCTACATATAAACGAACTGGTCTAGTTTTTTAGGTCATGAATTAGAGGCTCTTCATAAATATCTTTTCAATCAGAAAAGTCTATAAAAGCCTGGTCCACAGGCACATGCAGCCAGCACTCCTAGGGCTAAGGGAACAACATATGGAAGGAAAGACAAAGCTGCAAAGGTAGGCCAGGGCCGGACCTAGGAAAGCCTTGGCTGTCCCAAGTCGCAAGTGGCCCTTCTGAAACTCACTAACACACGTTCTGAAACCCACACTCTGCTTCAACAAGCCATGCCTTGGAAATGTCCTCGGTGGTGGGGCTGGTGCGAGTTTACTGGGACTTGAACCCACGGCCTGAGCAACATACCCATCCCTTTTTGTTTTTGAGACAGGGTTCCACTAAAGAGCTAAACAGCCCAGCGGGGGACCTTGCAATGCAAAGCCTCTAAAGGTTGACAGCAAAGAGGGTGCACATGTGGTGGGGAGATCCTAGCCACCCTCTGCCTCCAAGCCTCTTCAACCTAGGTTTAGGAATGAAAGTTTGAAGTCTAGAAAGATCATGAAAAATCAAACTACTTTTCTAAAGAAATCCAAATAGGGCTTTCCCTGTCTTCCTCCCTGGTATTTACGTTTTCACTATTTTTTTTTTTTAATTGTGGTAAAACAGACCTAATATGAAATGTACCATCGTGACCACTTTTAAGTATACAGCATGATATTAAATGCATTCATAATGTTGTGCAACCATCACCGTTACCCATCTCCAGAACTCATCTTGTAAAACCGTGACTATTCACGAAACAATGCTCCTCACTCTCTCCCTCCCTCCAGTCTCCGGCAACCTCGGGATATTTATCACCTCAAATTACCCAGCCTGGGAATTACCCAGGGACCACTTTAATTTCATTCCCCGGAGGGGAAGGAGCAGCCCCGAACGCAGGACGAGCCACACCCACCTCGGGAGGTGGAGGGAAGTGCGGTACCCGCGAGCAAGCCGGCGCGGAGATTTCATCAGACTGCACCGACTCGGGCCGCCGCTAGGGTCCCGGCAAAGGATGGCTCGCCGAAGGCTGCTCCCCCGGAATCCCTCCGGAGCCCGCCCAAGGGTCTGCCGCTTTCCCCAGGACCCGGCATCATAGGTGGGGCGGCCCGCAGGCTCTGGCCCGTAGCCTTCCCGTTTTCTCACGCAAATGAGCGCGCCCCGGAGCCGCGCTGAGTCTTCGCTCCGCGTGGCCGGCTGCGGCCGCACTCGGCGACACGCGTCGTCCCGCCACACCTCTCTCCGGGCCACCGCCGCCGGGGAGATGCTGCGGAAGCGCGTCCCCCGGCGCCCCTCGCCAGCCCGGGAGGCCCTCGTCCTCCGTTACCCGGGCTTTCGGCTCTGCTCAGCTTCCAGACCCACTTACCGAGCTGTGGAGAGATGGAAAGGGCGACGGCGAAGATAGCAGCTGTGCGTCGGCCTCAGCAGCCGAGCGGCCAAAGTGGACAGGAGAGAGCTTGCAGCCATCGCCGCGCCGGTGCCGGAGCCCTGAGACAAACGCGCGCGCGGGCAGCGGAGTTATACCGCCGCGGAGTGGCAGACCCCACCTGCCACCGGCATCCATTGGTCCACCTAGCTGTCCGTCGGCCCTGCCGGAGCTGAGAAAGCCAATCGGTTGTCCTCATTAAACGTAAGCGAAGTCCGATAGAGCGCTGCTTGCGATTGGAGCAAGAAGAGCCAGCCTCGAGGCTGGAAGGCCCGAAGGCCTCGGCTGCAAGTTCTGATTGGCTGAGGCAGTCAAGCCCCTGTCTGACGTACTTGGTATCACGGAAGCCGGGCGACAGCAGTCCAAGTTCATTCATTCATTAAACAAATGTCTGAGCGCCTACTATGTGCCAGGCAGTGGAAAGGCGCCCTAAAGGTGTGGATAGACAGGTAGATAGAATACCAACGAAAAAATGTAGCTCGAGTTAGAAAATCACCATTTGGCAAAATCAGAGTAAAAAATTAATTTTTGAAATCTTCAATGGATATGAAAACAATTGGGTGAAAGTTGGACAAAAAACAAAAAAGATATTTACATATGGATTTGCCGGCTCTAGCAAATAAAAATACAAGATTCCCAATTTAATTAGAATTTTTGATGAATAGTTTTGGGAGGTCATACTTTAAAACATATTTATTATTTATCTGGAATTCAAATTCTTGGCTTCTCGTGTTTTATCTGACAGCTCTCTTGCGTAGTTTCAAGGTATCGCTCTAATAAAATACTTGGTAACAAAAACTAAGTGATTTAATGAAGCAATATTCTTAAATCAACTGGTATCCTAAAATGCGTTGCTAATTTCTTGTTTTCACATTGACAAGAGAGATCACAGAGCTGACATGTAGCATTGTCCAGGGGGAAAACCTACTCCTGAAATTTCATAATATCCTAGAAGATCTTAGTCTAATCATGAGGAAATATCAGACAGGCTCAAACTGAGAAGTATTCTATGAGATAAATCATTTGTACTCTTTGAAAATGTCAAGATGATAAAAAAAAACAAAGAATAAAGAGCTGTTCTAGATTAAAGGAGTTTAGTATGACAAATGGATGTAATATGTGATTCCGGACTCCACCCCACATCCGTATATGTATACTTTTTGTTTTTCTCTTTTGCTATAAAATGGCATTGTGGGAAAATTGGCAATATATGAATAAAGTCTGTAATTAGTTACTAACATTATGTTGATGTTATTTTTCCTATTCAGCTACTTAGCTAATCATATTGTTGAATTAAGAAGACTTACACTATTTGGTTTTAGAGATAAAGAGACATAATGCCTGCACCTGACTTTCAAATGGTCCATAAAAAAAGGGAGGGATATGGATGTAATTGTTTGCTAGGGATACAATAACAAAATACCACACACTAAATGGCTTAAACAACAGAAATCTATTTTCTCACAGTTCCAGAGGCTAGAGCTACAAGATCAAGATGTTGATAGGGTGGGTTTCTGCTGAGAACCCTGTTCTTCGCTTGAAGTTGGATGCTTGCTTGCTGTGCTATAGGCTTTTCTCTGGGTGCCTGCATCCCTGTGCACACCCCTCTGTGTGTGTGTGTGTGTGTGTGTGTGTGTGTGTGTGTGTGTGTGCATGTCTATGTCTGTGTCTGTATGTTGTAATCTCCTCTGCTTATAAATCAGATTGTATTAGAGCTCACCCTGATGGCTTTATTTTAACTTTATTGTTTTAAGGCCCTGACTTTAAATGCAATCGCTGTAAGGTTAGGGTTCCAACAGTGAATTTTGGGAATAACACAAGTCAGTGTATAACAACATGTGTACATAAAGAAGGCCTGTCAAAAAAATGGCAAATGCAAGATAGTAACTGTGGGAAAGCTGGAAGAAGAATATATCAGTATTTTTTTTGGATCTTTCCTGCCACATTTCTATATGTCTGAAGTTATTTCAAATTTTTTAAAGTAATATTTTTGTTCTCAAGGGGCTTGGGGTAAGGCAAATATACAGTGAACAAAAGAAAAGAATGAGAAAAGGAATATGCTACTGATAATTCTCATGATAGCAGATTTGAAAAGACTGTATGAGTCAGAGCATGGCCCAAAGGTTACATGACAAAGCGAAGTGATTCCAAGAACCAGTTCAGTTTTCAGCATGCAGTGGTGAGGAGGCATCTTAGGACCACCTGGGCTTGCAACTGTGACTGTGAAGAAAGAAAGGAAAACAGAAAGATACTGCTTTCCATGTACTTACTTTTAGAGGCAGAGTGTCACTCTGTAGTTCAGACTGCCCTTGAACTTGCAGAAATCCTCCTACCTCAGCCTTCCAAGTGCTAAGATTACAGGCATGTTGCACTATGACTGGCTAGGCCCTATTTTCAAGAAGCCTGACCTTACCTTGCAGCAAAGTTTTGGAAATTCTCTTTTCTCAAAGCATTAACTTTGTTGTTTGCTTGTTTGTTTGTTTGGTTGGTTGGTTGGTTGGTTTTTTTGACACAGGGTCTCACTATGTAGTGCAGGATGGCTTTGAACTCACTACGTAGCCCTGGCTGGCCTTGAACTCATAGTGATTCTTCTGCTTCAGCCTCCCAACTGCTTGGATTGCAGGTGTGCACCACCAACCTGGCCCAAACGTTAACTCTTAAGAGTGAAACTATGTGTGCTGGGCATGGTGGTACACCTTAATCTGAGGACTTAGGAGGCTGAGGCAGGATGATCACTGCAACTTTGAGGCCAGCATGGACTACATAGTGAGTTCAGAGCCAACTTGAACTGTACAGGTAGACTGTCTCAAAAAACAAAACAAAACAAAAAGTGAAACTATGTGTGAACGTTATTATATATTTTAATATGCTTAACAAAGGGGCTTGCTGCTATGTTCCCCACAGTATTACAGTGAAATTGCATTTGTGCAAAATACCCCCCCAAGTTTTAATCCAAATTCTGTGGATGGAGGTGCTCAGGCCCCTTTATAGCCAGCTGCAACCTTTCTTTCTGCCTGCTTTTGTTGCTTGACCCACCACAGAGAATGTCCTGTCCTTTCCTAGTGTTTTGTTGCATTGTTTTCTCTGCTACCTCTCCCTCAAGGCTATACCCCCAGGCTGCCGGGCTCACAGGCCTCCACACCCAGATTTTCACTAGATGTCCATACTCTCTACCCAAAATAGTTGTCAATTTTATCTATCTCTCTCCCCACTGACTTGGTCCTGGTCACCTCCATCTCCTGCCCAGACAAATACAATGATCTCTTAACTGATTCAGCTTTTTCCCCCCACTTCATTTAGTTATTTATTTGGTCTTTTTGAGACAGGCTCTCACTATGTAGTTCAGGCTGGCCTCAAACTCATGGCTATGCTCCTGCCCTAGGCTCCCAGTTGCTGGGATTACAAGTCTGTGCCACTTTGCTGGGCTGCAAACTGACATGAAGAAGGAAAGTGATCTATCTGCCCAGGGTCATACTGCTACCCAGGATCCGTGCAGAGATTTGACCCTGGGCATTTCAGTGATAGCATGTAAGCCTGTGATCACTGCACCACAGTGCTCAGTGGTTCAGCTTCTGAAAGAGTAGATGGCATCATCTTCTGAAACCCTTCCAGTTGTTGGCCATCTTCTTTCACACAGGCCAAGATTCTTAGCAGTTGGTTTCATCTCCCTTCACTTTCTCCTTTGCCTGTCACATTCTGTCACACCGGGTGCCTGATCTCAGTAAGCTCCTGCTTGCTTCAAGGCCTTTGCACACCCTATTGAGTCCAAGCAGAGCTTCTCTCGCTTTATTTGGCTAACTCATCTTCTGGGGACCTAGCTTAGATAACATCTGAACTCCTCAGTCTCTCTCTCTCTCTCTCTCTCTCTCTCTCTCTCTCTCTCTCTCTCTCTCTCT